TTATATCATATTACTTAATTTCACCATCCTTCAGCCATTTTGAACCCCCCCAGGCGCCGCCGTGAGAAGCTGGGCTCCGACCACGTGGAGACGCTGCGCAGCAAGCGCAAGTTGGCGGAGTCACTTGGAGCTGAAAGACGAAGAACGGGGGGTTTTAATGTGGATTTAATGGGGGTTCATATGGGTTTAATGGGAGGTAATATGAATTGAATGTGATTTAATGGGATTCAATATGGATTTAATGATGTTTAGCGTAGATTTAGTGGGACTTTAATCGGATTTGAGGGGCATTTATTGCTAGTTTTGATTAGATTTAAATGGAGATGGGATTTCAATGGGTTTTGATAGGGGTTTATTGGTAGTTTTGAGATTTAATTAGATTTAATGGGATACAACTAACCAATAGGACTTGATCCGTTTACCCTTCAATTATGGACCATCATCCCATTTGTAGAGATTGAAGACACGCGTGAAACCGCCATCCAGTATATAAGTTCTTGGATTTGCTTAAACGGGCCATGAAAAAATGGCATGCCATTGGATTAGGTCCCCCAGATGGCGGATCCACATGGATCCACCCAGAAATTCAACTTCAAATCCAGGTACTTCGTGTTGTAAATTCAATAATAAACTGTCCCCAATATTACCATAAATGTCAAGTGGACAATTCATGAGACTTTGGATTTTACAGAGAAAACACATGGGAGAATTCAGCAGCAGAAAAGGACGGGTTTCAGAAAGAAAGTGGGATTTCAACAAACAAGCGGGGAGACTCACCAACAGGAAGAATCTGCAACTTGATCGACAACAGATGCGAATTTCTCTAAAGAATGGATACTATATGATACTGTATTTGCCAACACAGGCACGTATTCAGCAACGAGAATGGCATAGAACGGGGTTCAGCCATGCAGGTGTAGCCGCTAAGAATCGATGAACGCTGGTGGTGGGATGATCTTCCATCCTTGCCGCACCAGGCCACGCTTAGGCCATGACATCACATGGCCGAGGTGCTTGAAGCTGCAGGAGAGCAACCGGAAATTGGGAGAGGCGCATCAGTTGCTGCAAGGGACCAAGAGCGAGTGCCAAGAGTTGCTACTTGGGCGAAGGGTAGGAATTGGGCAGGAATCGTGGGCGGATAGCTGTTCTTGTCTTTTTGGATTGAACCATCCTCGCGTAACGCGTAAGGGGACTTGTTCAGAACCAAGGAGTAGATCAAATTACATCAAAGCAGTTCAAATTATACTGGTTGGTGGTTTGGAACAGTTTTATTTTCCATAATATATGGGATGTCATCCTTCCCATTGACTTTCATATTTTTCAATATGGTTAAAACCACCAACCAGTATATTAAATCAGTTTATGCTGGGGTGTGAATCTTGGGGACGCTGAAATCATCTGAAATCAATAGGACTTGAAACTGCAGGGAGCAGGGACAGCAGCCTGTTTGGATCATTTTGATACCCAACATTAATTCTGCACTAAATTGAAAATGGTGCGCATCCATGTCAAAATCAAGCTTTTACTGCAAGAGTGTTTTTTTGGCATGTGAGTTCACCTAGCAGGTTTCAGATCACGCATGATCACACATGCCTTCCGCATTTGAAGAAAAGTTGTAACTCTGGGAAATCGATTTTCCTATTGATGTTTGCAATTTTTGGGTTCTATGTGAAATCTCACCATTAAGATCTTTAGTTAAACTTGTCAACCAAATCCATAATGGGATCTTCTCCAGGTGTTAGTTGATGTAATGCCTTCTGTTGTTCCTTTGCTTCACCAGTTTTTGATTGATATGTTAAATGTCAGGGCAAGAACCCGCGCTAAAACGTTGAGTGCAATCAATATGTCGATCGGTGATAGCCCCCGGAGCCACAAATGGGTGAGGTTGGGTGGCGACAACAGCGAGACCATCAAGTGCATGCAATCGTTCGAGCCCAAACCGGGGGGATCCAAAAGGGGGTCTTGGTAATCGGCCGGTGGTGAATGAGGTCGGGGTTGGTCCGGGTTGGTGGTAATTTTTGTTGTGGTGGGGCGGGGGATGTTTCTTTCCTTTTTTTCCTTTTGGGGAGTGAAGTTAGGATTTAATTATTGGTTGTGCGTTGTGCGTTAATTTGTTCTCAAATGTTCTCAAATGTTCTCAATGGAGCTAGGGAGAGAGAGAGAGAGAGAGAGCGAGAGAGAGAGAGAGAGAAAGAGAACTATATAGTTGGTGGTTTCATTTCCTGTTATTTTCCATCCCGAAATGGGAGGATGCTCCCAGTTGACTGATATATCATATCAATGTCATGAGTTGAAAGCACCAGTAAATAGATTCCAAAAAGATTGAACCGAACAGGTTCAATCTAACCTACCACTATTTTCGTGAGATCTTGCTTTTCATTTTCTTTGGCTGCCACAATCCTGGGTATGACCTCCAGCCATTGCAAACTCTGTTGTTTTATATAGGTAAGACATAGAGGGGTCCCCAAGAAGACAGAAAAGTGAAGGCTCCATCCATTCTCATGGTGACTCTACTTCTTTTTTCCTCAGGTCATCAGACACCCAAGTACTACGATTCCCACCACGGATTTCCCACGGATTTCCCTCGTGACTTACGCCGCTGGAAGTCTCAGGCTGGCTGACGTCCTGGCCTCTATGGGGGAGCTGCATAAGGCGAGGCGGTCGGATAGACGGCGTAACCCAGCGAGAGAGAGAGAGAGAGAGAGTAGCATGATTTAATATGCTTTATCTTATAAATGGTATTCAATATTATTCATGATGATATGGTTATTCAATGATGTGATTCTATATATATTATATGCATACACTAATGGTGATTCATGATTCAATGATTACTACTATTTTTTGTACATGTATAAGTGAATGAGAAATGATGTGGTGATTCATGATTCAAGGACTATCATGTCATATGACTTCACACCATCTTTAACCTATATTCCGATTCAACCTATTTTTTGGAACCAATCTGATTGATGATTACTACATTATGATTGCAATCTATAGTCGTCTTCTTTCAGCCTGGTGAATTACTGTGATGTATCCCGATCTCTGGGGCCAAACATGTTGATGATTCTAGTCGTGCCCTGAATGGTCATTTTCTGAGAGAACCACCAAGTTCCAAGCACTGGAACTTCTGGAAATGCTGATGTGTTGAACCCAGCAGGCAGAAGAGGAGTACCAAAAGGTCTACAAGCAACTCAGCCAGACCTAGGAGGAGCCAACCGTGCCGAAGGTAGACTCTAGGACTCTAGGCTGTCCCTGAATGCAAACAAATTCCGTTGGAACATATTTGTTGATGGAGTTTTGTGAATTGAGACGTCGGACACCCCAGAAGATGGCCATTTCCTTGTTGCTTCCCAAGGACACCAGGAAGAAACAGAAATTCGTGGGTTGCGGGCTTTCAGTCCTTCTTTTCGTAGGTTCCAGTGCGCTTTGCATTGTGGTTCATAACCATTGACCCACAAATATTATGGATTCTCAGTGTATTTCTTGCATATTTATGATAGATCATCAATTGTAACACCATTCAAGTATTTGTTTTCTCCCTATCTGGGGTTTATGATTGTTTCTGCATGTAAGCCCAGACATCACCATCATCAACCACTCCTCAAGTTCCAAGGCTATTGGAGAAGACAGCGGGAAAAGACCACGCCTCCACGATTGAGGCTGGCTTCTTTCGGGCGGCGATGTTGGTGTTGGCGGGCAAAAGGCCTAGTTTTACATGTCATGTGAGTCATATATGAGCCATATAAATCCATATAACTTATAGGGAGGATCATTCATGATGTAGAGAATGCCAGGGCACGCCAGGGTCCGATGTTGTTTTTTGGTGCCGATTCTAAGGGCTACAGCAGCTGCTGCACATCTACCACAGGGATTCCAGAGCAACCAGACATAATCTGGGTGAATAGCAATGTCCTTGCCAACGCCACTATGAAATGATAGTATACGTACTGGAACATTCCAAAATGATCCAAAATGACCCAAAAGTTCAAGTTGGTGAATTATTGCAGTATAAATTAATCAATCCACATGAATGAATGGCCGTGTCATCACGGCGGAGATTTTACCAGCAAAATATTAAAGATTTGTGGATATTTGGGGCATCACCATTTGACTTTGGGTGAGGAAGCCGCACAGGGCTAGAACCAAAAAGGTATAGAACAATATACAGAAACATACAATAGCATAGAAGCATGTAGGTCCAATATGTACAGTATATGTAAATTCATTCATGATTACATATGATATTATACATGCATGATACTGGTATACCATATCATATTTATATATAATATGTAGATGCCAAGGGGCCGCATAGACATGGAAAATTCGGGCCACTCTTTTGGCCTTGGTATTTTTGCTCAGCGCTTTAGCGGGCCCACGGGGCGTCACCGGGAGCCGACATGGAGTCATTGTCCAGTTGGTCTAACCCTGGCCTCGACACCTTGTTTTTGGCACTTGTCACTGGGAGGTTGGGAGATTGGGAGATTTGGAAGGTTAAAAGGTGGAAGCTTGGTGAGAAGTTGGCACCAAACCCTTTCTATGTCAACCCTGGATGAATAAATCAACCCCTGGGCTGTTCACTTGGGGGGGGTACCGATTTGATAGCAGATTTTATCTATTTGAGGGTGCCATGATGAACCAGGATTTAGTTATGCGTCCGAGGTTGACATTGACGAACTCGCGGCTGCCAACAGCCTCTTACGTCGGATATATATATATATATACATACACACATACACATTATATATATATATACATATAGATAGATAGATAGATAGTTAGATAGATAGATACATAGATAGATTGGATGCGATTGGAGGACAGCATAGGGAGTTGCCACACCTGCTGGCACTTCCTCAACTGATATGGTTGGTTGAGAGCATAGGATAATTGTGATGCTTGCTCCCTGGCGAAGAAGTATACTTAAGTATACCAAACTTGGCAACGCAATTTCTCAACCTTGTGCAGGCCCGAGATGTTTTCCGGAATGAACACAGGCCTGCTGTTTCATACCTTTCCCGGCCATGTTACATGTTGGAAACTTGATTGTGAACAACAGCCTTGTGGTTTGGAACTATGCTTTCCTCTCAAGCATTGTGCCTTCACTAGTGCAAAAAACTGGATGAAGTTAGGTGTTCACCAGTGGATGCTGACGGTCAATGGGGTCAGACGCATATCACCATTGTTATTGAATTGATGTTCCCATTGACTGTACGTATCTGCACTCATCAGTTTTTGCTGTATTACAATGTATTATACAATATGTATATATATATTATTTACTATATATATATACATGTGTATATATATATATATGCATTTATCACTTTTTGATTGTGTCAGCTAGTGTATCACCACGATTCCTAGGTGCGGGTTAGTGCTTTCAGATCTTCCATCCCTGGACATCGGGGTTTCTTTTTTTCATGGGAGGGGTCCCTCGATTTCCAGAATTTGGGTTGACCCCTAAAGTCCCATAGATATGGAAGACGACCAGAGGACGCTCATGTCCAACGAAACCACGGGTTCTCCGTACCTTTAGCTTACTTCGAGTCTTTGCTTGTTTTGATACCGCAAATGCGCGATTACCTTCATTTTGAAAGATAGATATACCTACAGACAATTACATACATACATATATATATATAATATGACACACACATATATATACTTTACACGCATATATATATATGTGTATATAATTTACATATATATATATATACAGAGTTCACACACACACATAATTTACACACACACACACATATATAATTTACACGCATATATATATATATATGGATAGTTTACACACACACACATATATATAGGTATATATATATATATTAACTTTCACTGGGGTAGGGCCCACTTGCATATGTGTTTCAACGTGTTTCGCTGCACCCGCATATTTGCAGTGCATGCAAGACAGGAAAACACAAGGTTCACCACCCTTTATATAACCTTTGCGTTTGGATTATTCCTGTTGCATTTTGTCACGTTTTGAAGCCTCCAAGCTAGAGGTCTGACTACATGTGAGGGCAGTATGCCAAACTCAACCAGGAGTTCGGCAAGTTGTGAAATAATTTCCACCTTCCCATCTCCAATTTCCCCAAATTTAACGAGAAGTTTGGCGAGTTTTGAGATTAATTATATAAATAAATAAATAACCAACCAAATAAATAAATAAATATATATATATATGTGTGTGTGTGTGTGCTGCTCCGCCACACTGCCAGAGTTGATCTTCGACCGGGTGTCCAAAAATTGCTAAGGCGAGCGCCATTGAGATTTCTTTCTTTTGTGGTGCGGTCGTGTTTTGCCAGACCCACTATCAGAAGATCTGCCTGTGCCTGGGACCTTGTTGATCATGATTCGACAACTGTCAGATTTTTTTCGGTAAAATCTATATTGATAATTTCAATGTTTTAACATCACTTATGATTTTGTGTATATATATATATATATATTATATAAAAATTCATCCAAACTACTGGAGATGATCATTCACTGGGAATCCCGTTGACGAGGTCCCTTCATAAATGTGTGGGCAGGCTCTCTGTACCTTGGCCGCGGCGGAAATCGTCGTCGTGGATGACCATTTCGGGTTTCAAATGGATCCCCGAAACCATGAGTTTCGATATGTTTCGATACTAGATTGGTCTAATCACTGGATCTGGGGGTACATCCATTTTAGGAAGGATTTTTCGTTTTTTATTCATGGAGACAGCTGGGTTTGATTGAAAAATAGGCTAATTCCCGGACCCATTGGTTTACGGTCATTGATTTCTAGACGCAGCCAGCTGTAAAAGTGGGAGTTTCACCAACGAGGAAAGCACGGTTAAACCATTTCACGGCGATGTTTCATGGATTCCAAATGGGATATAACCGGCAATCATTGAGGAGGATTCCAATGGGATAAATCCGTTTTTTTTTTAGTGTGAGGTAACAGGTAACATATCCAACTTGATATGATAGTTAGGTGATGTTAGGTGTGATTTTTAGTTGGTGGATTCGTCAGGAACTAGTTGGTCAGACCGAAGATTCGAGGTTTTTCACCAACTTTTGGGGCTAAGATTAACGGGGCACCATCTAAAACGGCTAAGATTAACGCTTTGATGTGGAAAAGCCATGAAAAGCCATGAAAAGCCACCATGAATGTATCATTTTCCTTGGAAAAAGACTTTGAGGCTTGCCTCAGAGCAACTCTGTGGTCATGGCCCCCAGGAACATCCAGTGGTAGCCATTTTTCCGAGGCAGTCTGGGTGATCTCTCAGTGGTGTTCAGTGGTAAAACTCCACGGTTCCTCCCAGAGGCACACCTGGGGTTGCTTAAGATGTTGATGTCATTTTCCGGAGAATCCCCCGTTGGGCTTACCCTCTGGTTATGACTAACAGTTTGCCATGGTATAGATGGCCCATAGAAATAGTGGGTTTACCGTTCTTAAAAATGGGTGGATCTTTCCATGGCTATGTCAGTCATAACCAGATGGTACTATCTTTGTTTAGCCCCCAAGACCCGCAAAAAACATCGCGGCATCAAGGCATGGCTACGTCAGTGTGGGTCCGATGAGGACACTAAGCTGGTGACCGAAGTGAGAAGACTTCAACTGCGAATGGCTCACACCTTTCTCAACGTGTTGCTGGGACCGCTGACCCATGAACCCCCAAAAAGATGCAGACAGGATGATGACTATTTTGGCACCATTTCTTGGAAAGTCATGTTGCTTTTCCATTTTTTTGTTTGCTATAAGTGGATGCGGTGTCAGGTTTTTGGTTTGAACATGAGGATGTGATTTTTTTGAAGGACATACCATCCGTTTTTGATGTGTTTGGAGGCGATTTGACCCAATGATGGGTGGGTGATTCTGGTGAAAACCATGGAATTCTTCACCATTTTTCTTGGATCCAATGGCAACGCGTCGAATGAAAAGGGGCCAGGAAATTTTCGCTGCGTTCATCGCCCTTGAAGCTGGTCAGTTGCAAGTTATACAGCAGAAATGTGCAAGAACACATCTTCAAAAAAAAACAGCAATTAGAAATGATCCCATTTCTAGAGGTATAGCCAAGGATGGTTTATGGCAGTGGGTATAGAACATCGAAAACAAATAGTCACAGATGGTGAAACTGCCAGGTTGGCTGGGATTGGAAATGGTATCACGCTGATCTATCAGAGCGGCCCGGTGCAGATTTCGCCGAAGAACTTCAGATGACTCGATGACTCTGTGATCTTTTTGCGAAGATTTCCCCAAAAAATCTTCAGGTATATGATTTGGAGGACTAGACTGTCCTTTCTGAAAGACCTGGGTACTTTGCTAATGACATTAGCATCGTGAATATCCTTGTTAGGCTGCCATCACATGACAGTGCATACAGCTTAGGGCCATTATGTGGGTGTAGATGTGTGACTAGGACGAATTCGTCAAAACTTCAGATGGACCCAGGAATGCCAATGCTGGATCTTGCCTATCCATGGATTTGTGGGGCCCCAAATTTACCAGGAACTGATGCAAGATTGACCACCACTCGAGACTTGCCATGTTTCTTGTAGCTAGAAAACTCTGCTCCAAGGGTTGAGAGTCACCACTTACATACGCAAAACTATACAAACATCCCCAAAGGATTGCATTTTCCAAGGGGTTGGGAAGTCTTGAGGCAACATTTGGCGCCAGCGTCAGCGCTGGATGCCTACCGAATTTATTCTGCTCCTTGGCACGTTGGGAATCCCCAAAAAATCAAACAACTTTGGCCGCACGTGTTTTTTTAAAGTCCTCTACTGGGTTTACAAATAGAAACTTCAAAGTTACAATCCCTAGCGCTGGGAAGCCAGTTCTTCGAAGGTTTGGGAGGCTTTTTCTGGAGCACTAGGTTAAAACCAACCCCCTGGAGCACTGGCAAGACAGGCAAGAACTCGATCCTGTAACAGCAGGATTTGTGTCCATCAGCATCCTTTTTAGCCACTGGTTGATTGGTAGAGCACTCTCCGCTGACCTCTCGAGGTTTCAAAACGCAAAGGGTCAATGACGGGTGAACCAATCCCTCTTTCCCGAAAAGACATCACCTAACTCCAAACGACTTCTCAAGGTGAAGTTGTCAGCAGTTAGCCATCGAATTTTGGTGCCAGTCGCCCTGCGACTGAGGTTTATGTTGCCGATCTCTGCATATGCAACTCTGCACTTGTTCTGTCCCAATCAAGTGGTCACGCGACGAACGGTGAATTTTTGTACCTTGGTGCAGCTTCATGGCCTCTTGAGCTGGGTTTGTTTTCTCCAAAAATTGGACATAGAGACCGAAAATGTGGCAAGATCCAAAGGATCCCGTCATTCTCCGTGTTTCCATGCTGATTCATGTGAGGAGTGCCAACCCCAGTTGAGACCGCCAATTTTGCATAATTTTGTTGCTCAAATCCATGGTGTCAAATAGTTATAGTTTGGGGATGCCGACAGGCAACAAGCGGATCCCAAAACCCAGAATCTCCGGAAATGATGGTTTGCACAGAGGAAACCATTACCTTCTGGTAATTCAATGTATATATATATACTACTTATATACTGCTATGCAACACGGCCCATTTAGTTGAATGGTTTGCCATTGAAAGTGGTGATTTCCAGAGGGTAGCAATGTTTAGCAATTCCATTAACACATGGATCAATATATCGATCTGAGATAGGCAACATCAATCCATTGCACGCATTTTTAGGCGTTTTGATCTCGATATCCCTATTTCATTTTGTTGAATGTGGTTGAATGCTATGGCCATATGGCCAGCTCAACATGGTTGGCACCCAAAATGGACGCTCTATCACTGTGGCACCTTTGATCCTTTTGGACTATTCCTACTTAATATATATATATTATTATGTTTTGCTTCTTCATTCTTATTCTGTAAAAAACCCTTGGCTTGCTTCGGCAAAACGGAGACTATCACATCCCCCGGGTTTAAGATTCAATGTTTTGAAGGGGGTTCCAAAGTTAGAGATATATATGATGGCAACAGAGTTTTTGAACGTTGTTGGTGGGATCAGGCACATATTTAGCAGAAATAGGTGAGATTTCGACCATCCCCAACCGTTGTGGTCAATGGCACTGGGTTTACCAAATTAAGCATGAATTCAAAGTGTTGGCAAATATATGCAGGCAGCAAAAATTCAATATCATTCATCATTCACCAAAGTTAAAAACCAATGCCACAGGAATGGCTGATCATTTCACCAATGGTCCAATGGTCGTGTGGCAGATCCCGAAATGCGAATCACCAGTCGTCGCAGGCTATGGTCTGGGCATGACCTGTGGGACGCTGGGCCCCACTGTGGGATGATCATGGATGATCTATGCAGATGGTATTATCATTTGTCAGGTTTATGATGTAATCTTATTTTATACCATAATTATCATAATTATAACACATGATAATCATGTTATTTCTATCATTTTTGTAAGAATTTGCATTATACTGTAATCTTATTTTGTTCAAACACGATGCTATGTTAAATTGCATTCAGTCTGTTTTTTTTGGTGTGTGTATCACCTTTACAACTATATATATATATATAAATCTACAACTGCATGCTTATATCTATGTACGTGCCTCTCCCTCTCTCTCTCTCTAGCATGCTTGTACATATACATCATATACATTGCATATTTTAGACGTGCAGCAGCATGCACTCTTGCATGCAGCATGCATACATGGTTCCCCTCAGCTCAGGATTTTGGCACTGTCGCCTTTGGGGAGCCCCGCTTTGGCCTCTGGGAATCTGTCGCTCTCTTTGGCCTACACGGCCTTCTTTCGCTTACCTTCCGTGACTCTGGCCACACGCACCTCCCTTGTGCCTCGCTGGACGACGACCCAGCGTTTCGAGCCAGGCAAGTGCATAGAATTGGGATTCATGTGGTAATAATAGTAATAAACCACCCATTTGGGAATGGTTCATACATGTTTATACCACCTATTTATGGTGATTTGGGGGATAGTTTATTATTGTTTTACCCAAATTACAGGAATAAGGGGCCGACATGTGACATAATTGGAGAGCCAACAAGCTTAGGTCCAGCTTCAAAATCAAGGGGTCGGGCCCAGAATTTGCGGCAACGCATAATGGGTTACCGTTTCGGAGCGAACCCCCGGCAAAGCATGGGTTCATGTGAGAAACATATGTTGATTCAAATGTCACGCGTTGTCATGCAAATACACATGTGAATATACATGATGTGATATTATGTCAATGATCTGCTTGCGTTGTGATTAAATGGTTCGTCGCTTCAGATTTTGTGATCCATTAAAATCGATGTTTCCAACACGATTTTGCCATCGGATTTGAGGTCCTTTTCTTGAACCTGCTGTCCTTGGTCTTGACGCTGATGCGAGCCTTTTCTGAGGGTTTCCCCCGCAATTTGAATGCAGGCGCCGCTGGAGAACTCACGGGGTGATCTGTGATCTGATGTAATGAGCATGTCAGAGTTACGGCGAGATCCAGCAACACTTTAGTTTTTTTATTATTAACCCTCCTTTAAACTAACATGGAGGTGGAAAATCACCATTTTTTTTCCATAGGTAATCATGTGTAAATGTGCTATTTTCCACATCTATGTTGGTTTTCCACTGGGATAACGGGAAATCACACTATGCCTTATGCTATGGGCTAATCGGTCTAATCAATCATGGTTAATTCATCTGATTCCATTCCCCGAAAGATTCGAGAAAAAACATTCAAATCCAATTGGCAGCGTTTTGGTAAATCCAACGCTGGATCAAGTCTCGGCTGGGGGATGTTTAAGACTAGCAGGAAGGGATGGTATGTGTAATAAGTGTGTAATATATTTGAATAGATGGATAAGATGAGTATATTGATTCATAGAGCTGGAAATGGACAACTCCCCCAAGCTAAATTGTTTGTGCTACTGTTTTGCTTTTAGAGTCTGCACTGTCTGCACATGCCTGTTTGCCTGAGGACGATAAATCTATTGACGAACTGTACCTCACCAATAGACTCACACTTCTCCCGTCGTTTCACATGGCCATGGAAATTAGCTCATGTGCGAAACTATGCTGTGATTGACGATGGACCTACCATCAACCAAACTTCATTTTTGATTCATCCACCAGTTGTTGTGGGCTAAATCACCGTTAAAATCCAAATTTCTGTTCGTTAAATCCATCTTTCTGTTCTTTCAATGCAGGGTGGTTGAGTTTAAATCTTCGTTGCTTAATTTTGTTTTGTTAAATCACCACTTTATATTCATTAAATGATTAAATGCACATGTTGTTGGTTAAATAAATAAATACATAAATAAATAAATATATATATATTTTCTGATTGACTTTCGCCTTTTGCTTGTTAAACCCTTGATGGTTCAACCCTGCTTTTTGTTAAATTCCTGCCAGTTAAATCACAACTTTCCGTGGCTTCAATCTCATTTTGTTGCTGGTTCAATTACCGTTTGTTTTGCATCCAATTTTGTGCTGCTTAAATAATTACTACTTTCTGTTGGTCACCAACCTGGTTGGTGACAGGGAACCCTGTTTGTTAGATCATGTTAAATCCACTACTTTCGGTTGGTTTTGCATCACCCGTTTTTGTTGGTCAAAACCGACATTTTATGTTGGTTAGACTCCTTGTGATGTTGGTTATATAAGCCATCTCCAAAAAATGCAGATCCAACCATCCATTTGGCCTTCCGAAGCCTTGTCAGGCACGCCTCTCTGGGTAGAAGGACAGGACGTTTGCAGTGATTTTGACCAATTTTTACATATGAAATGATGAAATGATAAGATGTACGCCGCAGGTATATGTGTAGAGAGTGGGTTCATGCATGGTGGTGCTGATGCTGCTGCTGGGTGGTGGTTCTGGTGGTGGTGGTGGTGGTGTCTTGTTGTTTTCTCGGTTCACTTCAAAAAATCATCAAGTCACGGAGATGGACCAAACTGGAACCGCAGAATCCCAGGCGGCCCCACATCCCACAGACATAGCTGTAGCAGGTCTAGCCACCCCAACTCCCCAATTGCTACACCACTGTTGGTGCATCAAAATATATAGCCCCAATTGAGGTTGAACTTCTCCAAGGGTTTCTTGGGAATCGCCTGGCAAGGACTATCTTGCGTGGTGGTCACATTGATCTCCATCTCACTGCAACAGTGGTTGCTTGGCATTCTTGGCCCCCTGTGCAGCCGCGTAAGCGACCCCCTGCAGCCGTGTAGCCGTGCGTAGCCTAGGGCTTAAGCATTGTGCCAGCGTAGATCCCCCAAGCATCCAACAAAAATGCACAAGTCAAGTGGATACAAGGGGCTTTATATATTTTATATTCATATCTTCTTATTTGATTCCTTTACCTTCCATGAAGACTTAGAACATGGGAAAACGGGAAAGGTTGACCAGTCTCCACGTCTGTCGGTGCCCGCCTCGGATTTCTTAACTTCTAGGCCCATTATGATGACTTCACTGTGACGTCACTCCAAATGATGATGGAGAGTGGAAGTCTGCCAAAGCGGCCGAACATTTCAGCCGGAGAATCATTATAGTTCCCGTTTGCACCAAATCGTACCTGTCACATGGCTTGCATATTTTTCCATCATATTCTCGTATAGATAAACCCAGACCTAGCCTGTTACAACGGCGCAAGACATATCATTACATTGTATTCCGACATTCGAACATTTTCCAGATTTAATGACATTTATACATTACATTTCAAAACTATCTACTGAACATTCATAATTATATATATCATCTGACAGTTTGACGGAGCTGTCAAAGGAGCATCATGTTTATCATCTATAAAGGGCCATTTTCATTCATTTTTCAGTTCGCTATTTATTCATCATGTTTATCATCAATGGGCCATTTTCATCCATTTTCCAGTTCACTGTTTATTCATCATGTTTATCATCTATAAATGGGCCATTTTCATCCATTTTCCAGTTCACTGTTTATTCATCATGTTTATCATCTATAAATGGGCCATTTTGATCCATTTTCCATTTCGCTATTTATTCATCATGCGGGATGTTTATCATCTATAAATGGGCCATTTTCATCCATTTTCCAGTTCACTGTTTATTCATCATGTTTATCATCTATAAATGGGCCATTTTCATCCATTTTTCAGTTTGCTATTTATTCATCATGCTTATCATCTATAAATGGGCCATTTTCATGCTTTTTCCAGTTCGCTATTTATTCATCATGCGGGATGTTTATCATCTATAAATGGGCCATGTTCATCCATTTTCCAGTTCACTGTTTATTCATCATGTTTATGCCAACGGACTCGTTACCGTCGCACAAATCCACATCCGATAGCCTGGGGTGGGGTGGGGTGGGGTGGGGTGGGATAATAGCGTCATTGGCATTTCCACATGAACCTGATGCTACGCTCTATGACCTTCAATTGCAATTCCACATGAACTTGATGCTACGCTCTATGATCTTCAATTGCAATTCCACACATCCGCATCCGATAGTCTGGGGTGGGGTGGGGTGGGGTGGGATAATAACGTCATTGGCATTTCCACATGAACTTGATGCTACGCTCTTTGATCTGCATTGGCATTTCCACATGATCTTGATGCTACGCTCTATGATCTTCATTGGAATTTCCACATGATCTTGATGCTACGCTCTATGATCTTCATCGGCATTTCCACATGATCTTGATGCTACGCTCTATGATCTTCATTGGCATTTCCACATGATCTTGATGCTACGCTCTATGATCTTCATTGGCATTTCCACATGATCTTGATGCTACGCTCTATGATCTTCATTGGCATTTCCACATGAACTTGATGCTAAATTCTATGATCTTCAATGTGAGAAAAAGTTGCGGTTACCGTTTTTGAGGCTGAAGTGATGGAAGGGTTGTCATTCCCAAAGTAGACGGACCTTTTTTTTGGATAGGTTTTGAATGCAAAAACTGGCTCCTCGCTGTGAGGATGTAATAATTTTGATCATTTTCGCACGCCGGTAACGCTTCCGCCGGGATGTTTATCATCTATAAATGGGCCATTTTCATCCATTTTTCATTTCGCTGTTTATTCATCAATGGATTCTTTTGGAACGGTCTCCCGGTCCATAGGCTACGAGGTGCGGCCTCACAGCGCTTGCACAATCAGAAGGTCAAGGCAGTGCCTGGACAGCGCATGGCCCAAGGGCAGTAGACAAATTGAACAGAAAGAAATACGCATACATAATAGGTATATATATATACATATATATATATATTCATATATATGTATATATATATATATATATTGTATGCAATACAATACAAATCAGATACAATACAATACAACTTGATACACTTTGTATATACATCTGGGCAAATTATAACGACCTCACTGCGACCTCGCTGGAATCATGGTTAATAAGAGGAATGATTCCAAAATGGCCTTATTTCAGGTTACTCTATTATTATTATCATAATTTGCCCCGATGCATGCATATATATATATATATGCAATACAATACATAGGAAATACAATACAAATCAAATACAATACAATACAGCATGATACATTAGAATACAGGACAATACAATAAGATACAATATAACACAATATAATACAATACCGCGTAATATTTCAATTAACACAATATAGCGCGGACGGCTTCTAAGTGGTGCGCGCACAGCGGCAGCAGTGCGGCGCAGCACGAGGTTCATGTCCAACAGATTGCTTTGTACACATCCCAAAGGCCGACGGGAGAGTTTGCCGCCAGGCTTCCATGGTATTCCACAAGCTGTGGGACTACGTCATATAGAACAACCCTAAGATGGCGTCAGCACAGGGATGTCGGGACCCTTGGCTGAATGCTGAGTTGGATAGGCACGGCCCTGTCGCACATGCCCACCGGTCCATTAACTAACAATCAGTTCGCGCAACTGTAGTTGAGCGCACTAAAGAAGAAAGGAAAATCCAAATGGTGCAAGTCCGATTGAGAGGACCAACCCACATAAAAACTGAGAGAAGCAATGCTGAGCACTGGTCTCCCAAAGTTGGGTAAAAAACACGAAAAGTGCGACCCACGGATTCTGAGCCGGCTCAAGCCACGTGCAATCACTGTCAACATGCTGCCCCGCTCGCTTGCTGCCTCAATCCGAAGGATGCCGCTCCCCAAAGACACACCGGCGCCTTGTCGGACCTCAAACTACAAAATCGACAGAATTGCAGCAAGCCACGTGCATTGGACATGCAGGCCACTCTGTCCCACAAGTGCTCTCGAGGTTGAAGCCAAGACGGCCATTCAGGGTAGCATCCCTGCTGTTCCGGCTGAAGAGAGTCATCTGCCAGGTGCCAAACAAGCAAGCCAGTAATCAAGGCACTGAAATCGAGACAGGCAATGAGATGTGCGCGGACTACCTGTAGAGCAGCGCTGTTTGTGATCACATCCTTCTCACGACTGGGAGTAGCCGCGATGCCCAAACCAGATAGCATCAGGGGATGCAGAATGACAGCCAATGCCTTTCTGATGAAGGAGCCGCACGAGGAGGAAACAAGCCATGGTGCAACGATCTCCCAAGCATCGGTTGTAAACAGCCCCACTAACTGGAAAGACTTGGGCCGAGGGCTAATTAACACAATATAATAGGTATAATACAATAACACACGCAACCTAGCATTACAATATAATTAATCTAATATACTGCAATAAGTTACAATACCGTATAATATAACATAGTATAATGTACTATAGTACGATGTAATAGTATAACAAAGTGTAATTTAGTACAAAATAATACTATATAGAGATAATGTATTTTATCATATTTTCTCTTTTTTCTTTACATCATACAGTAGTAACATATCGGCATATTTGCAGACACGCAATCCAAGGAGCTCAGCGCTGCGACATCCCTGCTGCGATTAACCTGCGATGCAGTGATCGAGTTAGGCGCGCCGGTAGACCGACTGGGGGATCAAACGGTAAACATCGGAGTCAACCACCAAAGGCAGGAGAATTGACGAGTACCAACCATAAGAAATACGGGGCTTGAGGCTTTATATAACCAGCAAAATATGGGAAACTAGAGATGATTCACCACCACATCGGTAAGCCAGATGATGACATGATGACATTACTGTCCATTGGTGGGGGATTATATAATGATGAATACTAGTAAATCATTTCACACTATTTGACATAGCTATGGAAAATCACAATAGGTAAATCATCTACAATTGGACCGTTTTCCATAGCTATGTCAGATTTCCAGAGGGCAATACCGGGAAAGCGTGATAATTCTTATGGGCAGAACCCTGATCTTTAGTGAACCTAAGTGAACTGTATCGGTTATAAGTTATACGTGTAAGTCATATGTGCATGTTTATGCAGATGAATAATGATGAACACACACACACACACATTTTTTTCACACACACACGCATTTATGTAAAGATATGCCCTCCCTCCAACTGTAGCAGAGACCCTGCCAAGTAGGGGGTTGGATGATCGAAATGTCTTATCTCCCCTTGCTTCGATCCAAAGGCGAGGCCAGAGAGCTGGTTTGGGGTCCTGTTTCAGCTTATATAGATCAACGGTACCATTTCACATTTTTTCCCTCTCCAGCAGGAGATCCAACGGTATTTTAAGACATGCACGCTTCACTGGCCGCCCAAGGTCCATAGGAAAGCGTCGCTTTCAATAGGGCAATGCTTGTTTTCATTGAATTATGGTATCGCACCCCCTCCAAACAAAGACACATGAAAAGAATAGAATCCTGATATCCATTGACATCCATGGACATCCTATTAGCCCGCAGGTGAGGATTTGAAGTTGACCAGCCATTCCTCTGAGCTGGCGGCTGTGTTGCTGCGGGACCGCCCGGGTGCTTCTTTGGAGGCTCAGCAGGAACTGTGGATGGGATGGGGATGGGTGATGGGGATGGAGATGGGTGGAGAAGGTGAGACTATTTGGAGTTCTTTGATATTTTTCGGAGATCTTGGTCAAGCCCTGTAAATATGAGTGGCATTATGATGTATTACGCCTGAGGTTCAAACTCTTACCTTTTTTTGAGTTTCAAACTTGGGAACCCCCAAAATCCGTCCGCTTTTATACTATCTAGTGGTTGGGGGGAGCTAAGGAGCTGTGGATACCCATTCCCAATAAACAATGGAGAGGCAAGGATCTACTAAGAGTTTCCCCGCCACATGATTCTACAATATTATATATATATATACATATGTGTGAATTCTATCTATATATATATATCTATAGTTATATCTTGATTGATTGATTTTTTGTTTAAACTTATGGTTCTTCACATTGATCATCCTTTCGCTGATAGATGGATATCGATGGCTCATGATGGCTCATCTTCCACCATCTTCCCACAACCACTTCGTACTGTAGATACCCTTTTCCTACTGCTTGGTTGATTTCTGTAGGCTTACCCAGCTTCAGAACCTGTCCCATTTCAGGACATTGTCGAACCACTAAAAATTAAATTATGATGTACCAGGCAGTTCAAAGTGACCGTTTGGGTTCAGTAAGTGAACGTTTATTTCACGGTAGAGTGGCCTCGAACCAGGGGTTCACGAGGTCATACGAGGTCACTTTGAATGGTCTTGTAGATATGGAAAAAACACATCGTGTCAATGTATAATAGCTATAATATGCGATAATATATAGTAGTATATATAGTAATATAAAATAATAACAACAGTGATAATCACAGATAACAATAATAATAGTACTAATAACAATAATTGTAGAAAGACATAGTAATATATATATATATATTGCATGTATATATTATACATGTATATAATTAATACCTTGGGTATCTTTAAATATCCTCAAATCTCCAACACATCTCCGAGGAAGGCGTGCCCTTGACGGACTTCATGCCCCCCGCCGAAGCCGCCCGCGCCGCGGAGATCCTCGGCCGTGGAGAGGTCGACGGCACGATCTCGGCCAACGTGTTCCACACGCGCCACGCGGCGAACGACTGGGGACTGGGGACTTTAAATGGGATACCCGGCCTGGTAAATAGTGGTTAATAGTGGTTAGTAGTGGTTAATGATGGTTAACAGTGGTTAATAGTGGTTAATGATGGTTAATAGTGGTTACTAGTGGTTAATGATGGTTAATAGTTGTTACTAGTGGTTAATGATGGTTAATAGTGGTTAATAGTGGTTAATGATGGTTAATAGTGGTTAGTAGTGGTTAATGATGGTTAACAGTGGTTAATAGTGGTTAATGATGGTTAATAGTGGTTACTAGTGGTTAATGATGGTTAATAGTGGTTACTAGTGGTTAATGATGGTTAATAGTGGTTAATAGTGGTTAATGATGGTTAATAGTGGTTAATGATGGTTAATAGTGGTTACTAGTGGTTAATGATGGTTAATAGTGGTTAATGATGGTTAATAGTGGTTAGTAGTGGTTAATGATGGTTAACAGTGGTTAATAGTGGTTAATGATGGTTAATAGTGGTTACTAGTGGTTAATGATGGTAAATAGTGGTTACTAGTGGTTAATGATGGTTAATAGTGGTTAATAGTGGTTAATGATGGTTAATAGTGGTTAGTAGTGGTTAATGACGGTTAACAGTGGTTCATAGTGGTTAATGATGGTTAATAGTGGTTACTAGTGGTTAATGATGGTTAATAGTGATTACTAGTGGTTAATGATGGTTAATAGTGGTTAATAGTGGTTAATGATGGTTAATAGTGGTTAATAGTGGTTAATGATGGTTAATAGTGGTTAATAGTGCTTAATAGTGATGGTTACCCTCTGGTAAACTAACATAGCGAACTGGAAAATCCATCCAATTTTATAGCTGGGTAAATCAATTATTTCGACTGAGCCATTTTCAACATTTTTCAATAGCAAACTGTTCTAATACCAGAGGGTATTAGGGATTAATAGGATTAGTGTATCCCCAATGTGATTTTTTGAAATTGAGGATTCATGGGGATGTTAGGGATGTTGATGGGCATGACCAGGGATGTATATGTGGGTTTATGATGGTTTATGGCGGAGAAATTCATAGAGAGCTAACCCCCCCCCTCCCAGAAAACCAAATTAAGGCCTTAATAAGGCCTTAACTAGGCCTTATTTTGGTGAAAAAAAAATTAAAGCCTAGTTAAGGCCAAATTAGCTTAATTCAGTCTTAATTTTGGTGACATTTGCCGTGTTTCATGTTTATTCAATTTCTCCAGTGTATTCCAAATTCTTTGGATGAAAATCCTTAATTTGGTCCTATTTGGTCCACTTCTCCCAATGTAGTCCGGTCTTTGGATGCATTTCATGACCTGGATGGATGTAAGTTTGGTGGAAATATATTTTCTCATTTGGTGTACAATCCAGGCGGCGTATTTCCAATGTTTGGGTGATTTGAATTTTACGGTTGTTTTTATTGCCATTTTTTGGGGGCACCCCAGCAACAAACACGTAGTACCAACATGTTCATGTCATGTAACACAACAGTTTTTGCCCACAAAGCGTGGGATTTTTCTTTTACTTAACACGGTGGTTGGGTTGATGAGCCCGCCCGCTTGACAATGTGCTTTTAATCCAGGCAGATTCAAACAGCAGAGCGACTCCAAGCATCCAGGATTGAAAATCATCTATTTCAATTGAGGCCCGGGACCAAACAAATAATTAGACCTCTTTTAAGGGATATTGGTTTGGGATGGCTTTTCATTACGCACTAGCAGATATGCAATGGACTGCGATGGCGATGATGACGATGTGCCTGGAATTGGCAACGAGGACACTGAATTCTCGCACCTCTGTTACTTGTCCAACTCCAAGGTGAAAATCAATTCTGATAGAATGGGGATAGAATTGGGACTTGTCGCTATTTTTCGGTTTGGGAATTGTTGTCGTACGTTAAAGGTAGAAACCACCAAACTAAATAATAGAGCGTTTGTTTGGTTGGCAATAGCATCACTGTCGATTTTTCCCGGTCCCCCCAAGTCAAGACTTGAGGTAAGATCAATGCTGCTGGCGTAGAGTTGTTGGCCTATGTTTCTGACACACGTCAGACCGAGTGGTCCTTGAATGAGGCACCACAGTTTTGAAACCATTCTTATAATTTCACAACCCTTTTGAAATTTTGCAAGTACCATTTAACACAAAAGAACCCGCAACATATTTTAAAGTACAGTTCCCTGACGCAGCTTCGTTTGGCAGGTCTTAGCTTTTTTCACTCGGAGTGGGTCGAAGGACAAGCGTGGCACACGCTTTAAGACTGCAGAGGCTACAATTCAAAACTACCACAGAGAAATGTGGCCGGGTGTGGATGTTGAACTATTGCAGACGAAATTTTCTTCTGGGAGTGAGGAACAGCAAAAGTCCTGGTTGGATCACAGCACTATTCCGACTTCCTGGTTGGTGGCTTTTTTTGTTTACAAAGTGAATTTCAAATTTGGGAACAGAAGTGATCGAACTGTTGCTTGGAAAGCTATGTCAGCAATCCTTGCGGCGCTGTTAACAGGCATAGGGCAATTTTCAATTCCGCATGCCCGTTTTGGTGATGGAGCTAATGTGGATTTGGTTGTTGACACACAGGGCCATGTACAGTTTTCTGACATCTGGACGACACAGTTTTACACTTCACAAGCCCGTCGCTGGTGGACGAAGGATCGGGGGGATTCTGGGAAACCATGGGTTTCTGTGGAGTTTGCGGCTGGGCATACAGTGCCCTTGTTGGACATCATTGTGTTTCTTCTCGATCCCCAGCATTCAAGACAGTTTCAAGACAGGGTCAGGGGGGTTGTGCTTCCATTACTGACCCATGTGGTGGGGGTATTGGATGACAACGTGAAGAGCCTGAGTTCACAATCCAATGCACGTGGACCTTCACGCAAACGAAAGAGAATCTCAACGGTTTTGGTCCGGACCCATGTTGAACAAGCTGCCACCCGAATATGGAACAGAACAGACCTTTGGCAACAATTTCAAAGCACTGAAACGTGTTTGTTTCCTTCCCACCCACTTTTTTCCGAATCATCAAGGAAATGACTATAGTGTTTGCTCGCTTTTTGAGCATTAATGTTGTCGAACTGAAAATTGAGATGCACCCATGATGATATGCAAAGTTAAACAAAAGTGTCTGCCGGAGCCCTCTTGAAACTTGAAGCCCAGGATCTGTTTTTGCGAAGAGCTTTGACAGAAGTCGGGAGCGCAATGAAGTGCCATGCAGCCGCTACAATGGCTATGGTCCATGTCTCAGCTCTAGCTTGCACTAGTCGCTAGGTGGTTTACAAGTGTTCTGAGAGTCGATATAGTTTTATCAATGAAGAAAGCCGGTTGAGACATGAGAGGACACGGGTGAACGTCGCTGACTGGGACAGACCCAACCCCCGAAGTTTTTGTCGCTGAGTTCGTCTACTGGGCAACAGCGATGACTGCATTTGCCGGTTGTACAGTTCTCCACGTCGACGCCCCAGTCCAGACAGAATGACAGCACCGAATTTTGCCCCCTTAAAGTATCACCAAAGGGCACAAAACTGTTTTTATTCAGCTATTAACACAATTTCCTTTGAAAGGGGTCCTCCGGGTGAAATTGCAGCTTTTTACGCGCTTGCACGCGCGCGCCCAGGACACCATTCACCCTGAGGACCTCTTTCAAGGGAAATCTTGTTTATTCTAGCACGGCGACATTGAAAAAATGCAATAATGAGTTTGACAACACCACCATGAAAGTCCAATGATTCCTTTCCCTTGAACATCCCCGCTACCTTTTTCACCGTTCTTGAGGTCTACACTGACGCTTCTTCCATAGCGAAGAGGCCGTCAGAATTGATGTGGATGTGGTCCCCGCTTCTTGAGAAAGGTGTCTACGCACCACTGCTAGTCGGGGGTCCCAGCCAGGTGGTTAGCAGACAACGCAGCAGTTGACAATGAGATCATGACTAATGTTTTCTGTTCAATTCGTAAGGAAATCTTAATCTTTTAGTTGGCAACAAGAAGCGTGTTTTCAATCACTGGCTACCCCCTCAGCATACTGTAGCTGCTAGTTGCTCACAGGGTCAAAAACGCCAGCACTGACATGTCATGTGTTGTTTCTAATATCCAAGGAGCTATGTTTAATACTTAGATACCACCCAAGGAAACACAAAGACTGTCAAGTTGTTCAATCTCTAGGTTATGTCTTGTTTCTGTCGGAAACCAAAACAATGGCCAATGGCGCTGGTGACCGTTGCGGCATCTGCAGCAGCGATGTGTCAGACACATGCGCAAGCGAGTCAGATTCCAACGCCCCAGCGTGGACGAAAGCTTCACGTGTTTCCTCTTTGTCATCCCCTACAGTTGATCCCATGGAGGATTGGCTGAACAAACTGAAAATGGTTGATATTCCTAGAAGTATCCCAAGTTTTAAACGGTAATATTTTTTTCCATGTTTCAATCCCACTTCCTTGCTGGGAGTCTGACCCACAGGACATGAGATCAGAACCAATGCTGGTTCGCGCGGGGAGGTTCTTGCAACTTGCTTTGCGGGTGGCTATCCAGGTACTAGGTGTTTGTGCGTTAGAGGACTGGGTGGTCTCAATCAATGATAATGACAGATTCGAGCTTAGCAATAAAAAATGTTGAAGTGTTGAGATTGGTTTGGAGTTACCCCCGTTGAAATTGAATTGAATTTGCATGACGGAAGACAACACTTCAATTTATAACTAAATTTAAAATTGCGGTCCTTTGCTTTCGCGGTACAGAAAAGAAACATCATTCATGGATTATATTATATAATCAGACTAACTTATTATCTTTCCAGATCCCCATTCCTGGTGTAACCCCCATGTGACAAACCAGGTCCAAATAACACGGTTTACTGTTCTTGGGTTGATGTTGAACATCCCAACTTTCAAACATATGGATTTGTACCCAGCAGGCCCCGTGCGCGTGCAGGAGTCGATGCTTTTCACAGTGAGATATACCTCAAGTGCATGCACTGGCTCCTACTCTGGGGAAATGGGGCTTTCTGCAATTCAACATGCTCTCAACACTAGTGGCCAGTTTCAGAGGAAAGCAGATTACACCACAATCAGGGTACATGAAGCTTGGAAGTGTTGAATGTTAAATCTAATTTCAATGGTTTGTTTTTTTCTGAAAAAGGGGTGCCCAATAAAACAAAACCTGAGAATGTTTGTCGGTGACCTAAAGCGTAACAAGGAAATCCGTAAGCGATGCAGGCAGCTTATCACTGACCACTGGGCATGGTGTGATTCAATCTCACGTACCAAGCAGCCTTGTGTGCACGGTGATCTGCTTGGGATTTTACCAGAAAATAGCTATTCTGACAGTGACTGCTTCATCGACAAAGCAAAAGATATCGACCATGCCAGGCTTCGGGCTAAACAGACCCTGGACTTGCTTTTATGCCAGTTTGAAAACAATAGAGTTTCCACCTTCAAAAATGCTCAACTTTTGTTTAGTTCAAATTAGTGGGAGCAGCTAAGTGGTCAAGTCACATACTATCCACTTTTGGGTTATGTGATGCATCATACTATGTCTCAGTTCACAACTCCATTCATTCACTACTACTGAATTATTATTTTGACCTTTCGTCGTCTCTCTGCCAAGGTATTGCTTTACGCACGACGCGTGCTGCCCCATTTTTGGGCCAAGTGCGACCCCTGTCGATTATGATCTCTCCGGGCTGCCATGTCCGGACATGAGTCCGGCAGGCTTGAGGCAAGGCCAGGAAGGGCCAACTGGTGTGGTTTTCGCGGCACACGCGAAATATCATTGCGCGATGCGGACCCCATTGCTCACCAAGGAAAATGTTCCTGACCGATGTTGGGAAACTCCCCTTCCCCAAGACATGTTGGATTATTACAAAAGTATCGGGACTATTTTTCAACATGGAAACTTACGAGTCTGTTTATTCCGTAGGTAAGAGGACGGACCCTAAATTATTTCCCGGTGCCGATTCCTGTCAAGGAGCTCTGTATGGACATGATCTGCAAGTTGTATTCCAGGCACTACAACATGCAGGTCTTGAACGTCTCTCCTGCAGACATGGGCCATGCGGGAATTGCCCGGGACAGAATTTATTTGATTCTATGGTTGAAAGGCACGGTTGACCAGATTATGGACCCAGAAGTACTCTACAGCGCGATTTCTCACTACATTCAACGATTTGTGAAGACCGAACCCAAGGACTACCTTGTTTCGTCGCAGATGGACTATTTCAAAGAAGCTGAACGTATAGCTGTCAGACGTAAACTCCGTGTTCGTACGTTGAAGGTGTCCCAATTGTATTTGATACAGCAACTTTTCGTGATTTGTGTCTGTTATTAGTGCGAACAACACCCCATGTAAGATTTGTCCGTTCAAACAAATAGTAATAGCTCTAGGCTCACACCTCACTGATGATCACCCTAAACAAACATAACAAAACAATTAAACAAATTAATAATACAACGTACAACTTAACTACGGGGAGTGGGGTTCTGCAGCAGGGTTTAACTTGATGGGTAGTTTGGTCATAGTCATACAATACAATCAGATTATTCCTGTTGATTTTTTTGAATGGGAATCAAAAAACCAGGCGAATTTGAAGAAGAAGAAGGGGAACTTCTATGACCAGTACTACGTACTAACGGAACGAGAAAAGAGGGCGGCAAAGTATGCCTCCAAGTTGTACCGCACGAAGTTCCGACGGGATCCCGAAAAGGCTGACAATTTGTTCATTCACTTGGGGGACAACCCTTGGAAGTTCCTTTGCTGGTCTGGTGTGTCAGGGAGGTTGCCCACATTCCGTACCAGTTCCGGAAAGCTTTGGAACCCAAAACGAAAGGTGTTTTTGACACCAAAGGACAAGTTGGCAGCATTGGGTCTGCCAGTCACGCCTCAAGTGGCCTTGGCTATGGGCCTTCCTGTTCTTCCGATTGCCGACAGTCTCAGAGCCTCCGCCGTGGCAGGGAACAGTTTCCATTTCTCGTGTTCCACAGTTGTCCAGCTTGTGGCCCTTGGCTGCTACCGGCTGGCCCATTGAGTGCAGACCAGCAATTTTAATTTCAGGGAAACATGACTGAGGCGTTTCACTCATGGTCATACAGTCAATTCAGCAGAGATACTTGACGCAATGAAATTTCTTCAAAAAAGGGCACTTACAATGGCTCTCTGTCCTTTCAACACCATTGTCTGTCACGTTGATGGGTAACGTATACTTCAATACTACTAGTGGTGTTGAGTTGCCTTTTTTCTTTTGGAATTGCAGACTGCAGCTTTCATCTTAAATAATTTTCAGAGAAAATGGACTATCTGATAGCGCAGCACATTTGCAACCAAGTCGTTGCGCTAGTTTCTCGCTCGGACCTTTTTGATCCGACGTACTCCATGCCATCGACAGTTAAGATGCCCAAGACTAGGTCTAGGACCAGGAGGAGGAAAGAGGAAGATGATGATGAGATTGAGGTGGATCCCAGGCACACCTTCTTGGCAAAATCAGATGATGAGTTACCCGGGGAGAGTGACGATGATGAAGACTCAGGGTCCCACTCATCAGATGATGGTATGTTACTTGTCCTTATGAAGTCACTGTTGGTGATGCATTTTTTCTATGGAAAACACACTTTAAACAACCATGGATCCCCGTTCCAGAGTGTCGTTGGAAAACCCTTGCGCGTCACCCACGCCACCAACTGCCTTCATCCCAAGGTTTCAAGGTGGCATGTACGGCAAGGGGACCAGCGAGCGTGCGGTGAAACCTGCAGGCAAGGCTAAGGCAGCGGCAGCCAAGCCGCGTCGGAAAGGCTCTAAAGTGGCTAGCAACCCAGGATCTCGCAAGAGCACCAAGGAAGAGTACAAGCATCAGGTTCTTGTGCGGGACTTTGTCGAACCCTGTCGTTATTCAGTTTCAATACTATTGGTTCTGAACTTCAACACTAGTCCTATTTCGAAACAATATTATGAAACAATCCATGTTTGACCACATTAATGAATTATTTTTGGTGTTTCTTCACTTCTGCCTGTCCAGATTACTGACCCCACTGACCCAGAACAAGAAAACAGTACAATAAGAACACACACACAATTATATATATATATAGTTTTCGCATGGTTTTGGCGGGGTCAATTTTCACGGCTGCCCAACTGGAAAACTGGAATGTCACGTGGAATGTCACTGGGACCTGGAATGCTTGATCAGAATATGCACTTGCTCCAAAGATTTTGATCTGGGGAGTGGGTTTACCACCGCTGCAAGTCTAACACCGCAATGCCAGCCAAGGACAGTCATGTGAAGACATGGCTTCATGGCAGCGACCCCACATTCTTGAACGAAAAGCGAATTGAAAGAGAACGTCGTGCTATCCTGTTGAGTTTGGTCCTCTTCAATTTTGGATGGCTACCAAAAGACAGCAAGCCAGGGTTTCCCGGCATCATTTCATGTTCAATTCAATTCCAGGAAGAGACATCCAACAAACAAAATACATAACAGAGCAGCAACATACTATTAAATCTATGTTAATATGTTCTATCTGCTTGTGGGGTCCATCCTTTCCACAGACTCAAAGTTTGTCGTCAGCGCTTGATTATGGCTTACATTTTGATTCTTCAGCCCGCCCCAGGAGCACCAAAGATGCTGCGATTGAGGCTGCCAAGGCGCAGTACGAAACCCGTGGGAGCCCGATGCAGTCAACGGGCTGGAGCCCTGCCCAGGTACACATGTTCACCAAGTGGCAACTCAGCCAATACGCGGAAGGAAAAATTAGAAAATCGGCTCTTGGTGGTTTTGCCTGGCTCTTGCCTAAGAAGGGTTCAGATGGAAAACCAGGCGACCTTCCAGGTCCAGTTCAGAGCTACATCAAGAGCCAGTCAAAGGATGATGATGATGATGATGACGAAGAGGCCCATCAGTCTTCAATACAACCCTTACAGTAATTACGGACCATATTCTACAACGTTGTGTATCAAAGAGGTTAGGAGAAATTTAGTATGGAACTTAATTATACAATCGTGTTTCTGGTTTTCCCCATTCGTCCCAACCATGAGCATTAATCAACCTGAACATGATGGCACTGCCGGCCAGGATTCTGCCGAATCTGTGAAGTCTGACAGGAAGGGAAAAAAGACGACCAGCCGGAAAACAGAAAGATCACGAACACCCAAGAAGAAGTCCCGCGGTAGGAGTCCTGAAAAGAAAAGCAAGCCCAAGGAGAAGACTGAGAAGGGACGCGCTGCAGAAGACAAGAAGGAGAAAAACGAACGACCAGAACCAAGGCATCTGAAGGGCATGCAATCAGATGCCAGAGAGCCGAAAGTGAAAGACACACCCAAAGATTCGCCGCCCCTACCAGTAACTAGGCTTATTGTCAGGTTACCGGAGGTCTCTAATGATTAATGGATTCGTTCTGTTAACACAGGGGGCCTCTTTTGTTCATTCGGTTTGGGTGACTATAATATAGACCATCTATGACTGTTGAACCAAAGGTCGGGTGATGTTTTATGGAAAAGGCTGTTTGGGGTTGGCTTTACTAGGCTCAGCTCATTCATTTTGAATCAGATTCGGCATTTTCAGTTTGGTTTGAAAGGTTCATTCTTATTGGCTAAACAGATAAATAAATAAATATGTTTAACAGTTACAGAGCCTACAAGTTCCCATAAAAAGAGGGTAAAACGGTTTGAAAGCATACCACGCCACCGCCTGCCAGGTGTATTATCTTATATTGCCAGTTTCCTCATTTTAAGTGCTGCTCCTGCTAATTTATCCACCCGTCCACAGTCCACTCTGTCCACTGTTTGACCAAGGATGATGATGAAAGTTCGTCTGACCTGGACCTCGTCAAGGTTCCATCCAAGAAAGGTGGATCAATGCCAGTTCCCTTTCTCGAAACGTCCAAGGGTGGAAATGTGTTGCTCATCTCCCCAGCTGACAAGAAGCAGCTGGAGATCCCTACTTTGACGGATGATGAGTGGCAGCTCAAGCAAAAGACTCTGGATGGAGTAGAGCAGTGGGTCCTCTTCACCAAGAATGGCACCAAGAAGCCCCGTTTTCTTCAGAAAGCTTTGCAGCACAAGCATGCTACAGAGTGGAAGCCGGACTCGGACGCGATTGAGATCTCTGGCAAGCGCGATGGCTCATCGTCCTCGTCATCGTCAAGCCACTCACGTCGCAGTAAGAGGAGTAAGGTGGAGGAGAAAGCAGAGAGAGAGAGGCAAGAACAGGAGGAGAAGGCAAAGCGTGAAGAGCAAGAGAGGAAGGAGCGTGAGGTGCGAGAAGAGAAAGAACGAAAGGCGAAAGAGAAGGAACGATTGGAGAAGGAACGACAGCAGAAGGAAGAGAAGGAACGACAGGACAAGGAAGAGAAGGAGCGACAAGAGAAGGAAAAGGCAAAGAAAGAGAAGAAAGAGAGGAAGGAGCGTGAGAAGAAGGAGCGCGAAGACAAGGACAGGAAGGAGAAGAAGGAGCGAGAAGAGAAGGAGAAGAAGGAGCGAGAAGACAAGGAGAAGGAGCGCGCAGAGAAGGAGCGCTTAGAGAAGGAAAGGGCAGAGAAAGAGCGCGCGCAGAAGAAGGAACGTAAAGAGAAGAAGGCAGCTGGGAAGAAGGATGACAAGGATCAAGAGGAGGCGAACAAGAAAGGCAAAGATGAAGAGTCAAGTGACTCAGATTCCAACCAGGGGGGGGCAGAGAAGGAGGAAACTCCGGCGCCTTCGCCTGACAGGGAGACTATGCAGTTAGAAGCTCTTGCAGAAGAAAATGGAGAAATGGACAACAAAGAGCTTGAGGACGGTGGCAGGAAAGAAGAGGAGGACTAAAATTGAGAGCTGGGGCTTGGTGCGGGCTAGCGCAAGCTTTTTTTCAACTGAAACATGGGTTGGCGCCCGTTCTGAGTTTTCCACCATTTAAGCCTTAACTGGACCTTAATTACCTTAATTTGGAAAATTGTGTTTTCCCCGTGTTTTCCACCATTTGAGCCTTAACTGGGCCTTAATTTGGCCTTAATTAGGCCTTAATTTGGTCTTAATTTGGTCTTAATTTGGAAAATTGTGTTTTCCCTGTGTTTTCCACCATTTGAGCCTTAACTGGGCCTTAATTTGGCCTTAATTAGGCCTTAATTTGGTCTTAATTTGGAAAATTGTGTTTTCCCTGTGTTTTCCACCATTTGAGCCTTAACTGGGCCTTAATTTGGCCTTAATTTGGCCTTAATTAGGCCTTAATTTGGTCTTAATTTGGTCTTAATTTGGAAAATTGTGTTTTCCCTGTGTTTTCCACCATTTGAGCCTTAACTGGGCCTTAATTTGGCCTTAATTAGGCCTTAATTTGGTCTTAATTTGGGAAAATTGTGTTTTCCCTGGTGGTTTCCACATTTGAGCCGTACTGGGCCTATTTGGCCTTAATTGGCCTTAATTTGTCGAATTTGTTTAATTTGGCAAAATTTTTTTCCCTGTGTTTTCCACCATTTGAGCCTTAAACTGGGCCTTAATTTGGCCTTAATTAGCCTTAATTTGGTCTTAATTTGGTCTTAATTTGGAAAATTGTGTTTTCCCTGTGTTTCCACCATTTGAGCCTTAACTGGGCCTTAATTTGGCACTTAATTAGGCCTTAATTTGATCTTAATTGGTCTAATTTGGAAAATTGTTTTTCCTGTGTTTTCCACCATTTGAGCCTTAACTGGGCCTTATTTGGCCTTAATTGGCCTTAATTTGGCCTTAATTAGGGGCCTTAATTTGGTTAATTTGGTTAATTTGGTCTTAATTTGGAATTTGGAAAATTGTGTTTTCCCTGTGTTTTCCACCATTTGAGCCTTAACTGGGCCTTAATTTGGCCTTAATTTGGCCTTAATTTGGGTCTTAATTTGGAAAATTGTGTTTTCCCTGTGTTTTCCCCTATTTGAGCCTTAACTGGGCCTTAATTTGGCCTTAATTTGGCCTTAATTAGGCCTTAATTTGGTCTTAATTTGGTCTTAATTTGGAAAATTGTGTTTTCCCTGTGTTTTCCACCATTTGAGCCTTAACTGGGCCTTAATTTGGCCTTAATTAGGCCTTAATTAGGCCTTAATTTGGTCTTAATTTGGAAAATTGTGTTTTCCCTGTGCTTTCCACCATTTGAGCCTTAACTGGGTCTTAATTTGGCCTTAATTAGGCCTTAATTTGGTCTTAATTTGGTCTTAATTTGGAAAATTGTGTTTTCCCTGTGTTTTCCACCATTTGAGCCTTAACTGGGCCTTAATTTGGCCTTAATTAGGCCTTAATTTGGTCTTAATTTGGTCTTAATTTGGAAAATTGTGTTTTCCCTGTGTCTTCCACCATTTGAGCACCCTTTAGTTCTCTTGATTTGGAAAAATTATAGTTTCCCTTATGTTTTTCTTTCGTTCGAGCCTTAATTGGGTTTTCATTGGGTCTTAATTCGGAAATTGGTGTTTTCTCTGTGGGTTGTATAAACAAAATAAGATTTCCCTTGAAAGGGGTCGGGGTGAAGGTCTCTTTCAGAAATTTCAAAGGAAAACGTTTTAAATGCTGAAGTCTGAAAGTCAAAGTGGTTGTTTCCTTCGCTCCAGAGCAATTTTCTATTTGCAACTTGGAAACGTTCAATTTCCTTTTTTTGGGGTCAAAGTCTTAATTTGATGGTGCTTTCCTCTGTTTTTAAATTTTGTTCAAAAAGTCGTTGTAAACAAATGTAAAGCAGGGAAAAAGCAAAAAGAAATTGGTTGTTTTAACCTCAGCAAAGACCAGTCTAGTCATTTAGAGTTCAGGAACAACTATTGGCAGCAACCCTCCCGACGATTTACCAAATCTATTTAACAGTTTACAGGGAAACCTAATTGAACAGAACTTTGGGCTTACAAACTTGTTTAAAAATGTGTAGAAGAACCATCAGGTGAGTTTTAATCTTGTTGCAGGCGGCTTAACCCATGGTGCTTAATCAATAAGCCTTTGAAGTTCACACAAACCATTCTTTGACATGGTTCATTGCAATGGTCCCATGCTTTATCATATGAAGTTCGTTCGGTACTTGGTAGACACAACCATTTTGATTTGTTGTGGCTGTTGGATTGTTGGTGAAATGACGTTTGCAGTTTTTGAGGGTCTTTCATGCGGGGAATGGTGATGAATGACCTTATCCTCCATCTACGCAACACCATATACGACAATATTCAGACCATTTTCCAAGTTTCTGCCATTTTAAAAAACCCAGGTTCGAAATCATATCATTAGCAGGATGATTCATTGAGCCTGGAAGACTTGCTGCAGAAAGAGGAAGAGAAGCCATGGCCCGATCCACCATATACAGAAGAATCCCTAAAGAAACACGGGCTGTCAACCCACTTTCGGCGACGCCGCTAACTCTGGTTGGCATGAGAGCTGCTTTAACTAACATCACCGTCAAACAAGTTCAGGTTGTTAAAAATGATTTGGTGAAAAGCCAGTAGAAACAAAGAGCACGTTTATTTTTTGTGTCACTTTGCGACCCCTCAGTACATTTGTCGCAGTGTCTTCTCCCAAGCAGCAGCAGCAGCAGCCTCATTTAATCGACCAATCAGATCAGATGCTGCCCACGCAAATCTTGGTACCTAGCCAGGCCAACATTGTGGTTCAATTTCTGTGTTTGAATGATATCTCCAAACTTTAGTCAGATCTGTGGTGGGTGTACACACTCAAAAGTTCAAAACCGTTTGAACTATTATTGTTTTCGCTTTGCTATCCGGGACCACATGCAGGTACAGTGGCCTAAAATCTGAGCTCGCTGGAGAGCGAAAATGCAAACCCATTGCGGACCACACCCATTGAAGTTCAGGGTTTGCATGGAGAAGTTGAAATGAATGTCATGTCAGTTGGCTGATGCAAGATTTGAAGAAACAACACAATTCAGTTCATCCATTAGAACTCACATCAGCAATTGAAGTTTGGTGATTTAATTTAAGGGAGTCGGTTCATTCATGGTGCAACCCCTTCAGATTTGTGCTCCTGCAGTTTATTGGATTTTGGTTGGGTCACGCTCCTGTCGATCAACAGTCGCAAGACGTCTCAACAGAACTTTGCTGATGGCCTCCTCTTCTTCTCCTGCGAATGGCATTACCGTGCCACCAACGTTGTCTACGACCTCAATGAGTGACGCTGGTGTCTCTGTGGGATCTTCTCTCCCGCTTTCAGTGGCCAGGTTCATACACTTAATTTGAATGTGAACTAACAAGGTTTGAAATTCTGAAGTATTGAAAACATTGTGTTATTACAATGTTTCCTGCCTTTAGTATCTAATGTTATGGATAGGGAATATGTCTCAAAGTTCAGGATGCTTTGAACCCCCTCTATCATCAACTTAACAGAAAACAGGAAGCCCAATCCTCCACTTTACCACAAATACCACATGCATTTAATTATTAAGTATGGGAACCTGTAACAAAAAATCCTCGCAAATGTAGTCTGGACCGTTATCATGGATACAACATCAGTGAAGGTATTAAATTAGTCTTTGTTGTCATGACGAATTCTTGACAGGACTCAGTCCGAACTGAACATCACCCAACAATGAATATTATACTGTTTGTTTTGGTGGGAACCGTCATCCGTCCACCAAACAGTACCCAGCATGTGTGAGTTCCCATTCCTGGGATCCCCATATTTCATATCCCCGGTTTGGGTGTACATAATTTATGGACATATCCCGCTAAACTACTATATATAATATCCCCATTGCCCATTGCCATGATTAATTACCATCCCCACCACACAGCTCAGGTCGTTTTGGAAAGACGAGGATGTACGGCTGAGCCGCTGCATCGCAGTTTGTCGCCCCCGAGGTCAATTCTGAGAAAAAGGAAGCAGGTATCCCATGAGGTTGAAACCAATGGCCTACCCACGAAAAAGGCTACTGTGGCAGCCAAAGTTCAAATTCATCCCTATCCTGAATTAGTCCTGCTAATTCCTGACAGATCAGACCCCCAATTGAGGGAGCTCGATTGCATCAATTACCGGATGGGGTGCACTCATTTTGTCAATGCTGAGGAATATTTCCGCCATCTGCGGCATTTTTGAAACTGTGGGATTTTCGAAACCCGGAAATCCTGGAATACTTACTTAGGGTGAATAGCGGACTGACTAATGCGCTTGACAAGTGTCTTGAATCGGTGCTGCCTTTTACAGCCCCTACAATTTAGGCCTGTCGATTGGCAATCAATCAACTTGCAGGCATTGACAGCGAACAACACTTGATGATGGCATTAGCCGCAGCCAGCAAGCGCAAAAATGATGCCGTTGCGCGTTTCAGCTATCAACAGGTCAGCAAGGAGGTTAATACTTGTAGATCCATAAGTCGAGGGTGAAATAGGAGTTAAAGAGTAGTGGTAACTTGGGACACATGCATAGCAAATTTATGGTTTCAGTTGATTTATTTATCTATGTTTTCTCCTACCTTTCAACTTTCCCGCCACCGCCGAGACCATTCCGCACAATGTGGCAGAGACGCTGAATGGAGAAACTGTGTTCAGGCTTTCCTGAGTGTTTTTGAAAGATTGGTGGATCACGAAAAGGTATTAAAGCTTTCAAATTGTGAAAGCACCTTGTGGGAGGATTGTTTCATTTTCACCCCAGCCCCTAACAAGAATATGTGCACCTGATCTGTCCATTTTCAAGTATTCTGATCACCTCTTGCCAACTTTTCAAACTTCGTGCCACTGATGTCCCGGGCAGGCCAAAAGTGTCCGGGTCAGATTCGAAAGCTTTCTATGTAGGGGGGCACAGCTGGTTGGCTGGGGGCGTTGACCAGGTTTCTGTTAGATCCGAAAAGAACAGTATGATTATGATGACATCATACGACAAACACTGCCAGATTATACATTCCGGGTACGATTGTTCGTTTGTGGTTTGGTGGATGATAACAAAATAATAATGATAATAAAGACATGTTGAACAATCCCCGTCTTAAAATTAAAAAGGCCGACAAAGCCTGTCAATGCCGGCGTACCGAAAGTAGATACCGACAGATGAATCGGGTTGAAACATTTGACAATAGCAATACAGTGCCCGCTCTCAGGGATTTCCAACGAGTAGCAGGATATTAGCCCATTAACAAATAACCAGAAATGGATTGCAGGGGCCAGTCATGGGGTGGATGTTTCAAAAATATATAAATTGCTAGCCACGATATTATGTTTTTCTACTTGTTCAGAAACATGGTATCTTATCTCCTCTCATGTGGCGCCCCCGTATTTCTGACAGCTAGGTTTGGGGTTGTAGAATTTATGGCCCCCCCCGCAATGCCAGCCATGCCCAGGTTCTGGTGAAGCTTCTTCACCATATGATTACCTTGCTGTGCGGGGCAGGGCGTGGGCTGGATTTCTTTGTCCCTCCTTGGGCAAAACGGCGAGAGCTCTACAAGGGGGAAGGTATCATGAACATGACCCTTCCAGCTATTGATGAAATGGGCTTAATCAGAACTGTTCTTTGGCCTCGTTTGCAGTTTTGGGGGACAACAGACTGGCCAATGCTCTTTTTGAACCCCAAACCTGGGATTATAATGAAACGAATATTAGGGGGTCTGTTGTTTAAGTTGTGATTTTTGACATCCGGTTTCTATCTGATTGATGGTGGACCATAGTTCAGTTACTGTTGGAACTTGAGCCTATCATTACAATGTTTGTTGGTTCTGGACGACATAAATTCCCTCATGATTAATGTTCACACCAATGGGGAACCCCAAATGAATCAAATCATGTTATGTTGATTCCCTAAACTGGCGGGTTTAACTGGAAACAAACAAGCTTAGGTGTGCGACGAAGAGTCGAGTCAAACCAAGGGCTTTCATTTCATGTTTGGCCACATCGGATGCCGCGGGGCATCAGAGCCCGAGCTAGCTCACCCATGTTGGAATTCATACAAACGTGCGCTACGTTGCTTGACCTTTCTGTTTGACATGACCGTTTTTTTCTTACTGGCGCATCTTTAATTTGAATGATTATGTGTTTGGTATGAATTGTGTCACACCATTTTTAACCAAGGACAAACATTCGATGATTCCAACCACCTCGAGTATGATTCCATGAAACTGACTATTATTTCAAACTACGGTCACGGGGCGTACTTGTCTGGCGATCGTCTGCTGTCTAGGCAGGAGCATTTCAAAAATTGGTTGGCAAAACAGGACAGCCAATACTTTGACATGGTAGCTGAAGAGGTGATGCTAGACCGGGATGAGGTTGGTGTTGACGGTGAGTCTGCAGCGCTGAACATGACTGATTTCCTTTCTGCCAAAAGCATCAAAACTCGTGGAGGCTTTGTGATTTGTCAGAATCAAAACACTGAAACTGAGAGTTTTGGGTTTCGGGGGCTAGACTTTGTCCAACCCCAGTACTTCAAACCCGCAAGTTTCATTATAAAGGTATTTTAGCCAGGTTTCACCTTTCTTCAACATTTGAAATTAAAGTTTCTGCAAGACGGGTTCCTTGTTATGGCAAAAAAACAAGAGTATAAATTCACTGTCTCTCCGAGTTTCCAGGCGGTTTTCCAACGTCATTTCCGACCGTTCGACTGAGGTAAAGAACAAACACTTTTTTGGCATGGTGCAGATCTTCCAATCCATTCTGAAGGATTGGACCATCCTTCGCGAAGCATCCCTCGCAATTATGGAAGAGACGTTAGGCACAGCCCCTCGATAATTGTATGTGGCGGTCGACCAAATAAGTTTAGGGAATAGTGTATTTTCATCAGGTTTTTTTTCCGAACATGTCCCCGATTACTTACTGACTTACTTCTGATCCTGGAATCTTGATAGAAAAATGGTTGCAATTTCCAACACTCCTTCGAATTATTTATTGTTGGTCCCTGGGATTGTTCAAATCATCCTTGCAGTTGAGTGACCGTTTTGTTGGACTGATTAATTGGGACCAGGCAAGCATCCTGTCACAGTCGTGCAACGGATGAAAACACTAATAGTGGGATGTGTTGGTGGGTTACAACAGCGCTCTGACCAGCTTTCCTCATGGGTGACCGGCCTAACAGTGTGAGGGTGTGAGGGGTGAGGTAGGGGGTTCGTGACCCACCGGGAGTGTATCCAAAATTGATGCATGTCAGAGTGTCTGAAAATTCCCACCAGGCGGGCCTGGTTGAACTGATCAGGCTGGAGCGACCAGCTATCCAAAGCATTTCCTGCGGGCTAGCAGGTTAACTGACCTTTAGAGTCTAGAGCTTGGAGAGGAAAACACAGAGCTGTTAGCATTAGTAGCTGCTGGGGCGAGGAGAAATGTATATGTATTTTTTTTATGGGTTGATACATTTATTTCTTCTTTTATATATCTCTATATAGAGGTTTCAATACGAATAAACAAGGAAACCTCCACATCAGTATTATAACAAATCTATACACGCACCTTTTTAGATATCAAATCAAGAGACATGTAGATTCCAAGAGATAGACAGATAGACCGATACAAATATTGCTACATTTCTGTTTGGCAACTTCCTCTGGCAACGTAGCAGTAGCCAAGGTTGATGATGACGAACATGAAGATGCTCAGTTGGAACAAGAGCGTGAGAATCTTCTAGATGACCCAATGAATGCGGCTCGTGAAGAAAGGGGCGAACGTGAAGACGAGCAAGAGTCTGACCATGAACCCGGATCGGCACGGGACCGCCCACGCAAGAAAAAAAAAAAAAAAAAGTGGACCAAAGCTCAACTTTACAGTGCATACCGTGGAAAAGGCCCCCACAAAATGGTCTTCGACTTCTTGCACGAGCAATTTTTGCGTGAAAAGTGTGAGATTTTATGTCGCATTGGTGTCCCACTCATGAACAAGTACCACCATGACTTGAGACATCAGAAAGGAGAAACCCTGGACCGCTTAAGGTGGTATGTGGCGAGGGCAACCACTGCCAATCAGGAAACTGTGGTGAACATCTTGAGGGCAGCTTTTTCATCTGAATTGCCCACTGCAATGAGATTGACACCGCGGTCATTGACGTGCATGTCCCCTGCCGACCCACGCCTTTCCGAGGAAGTAAACCTCATGAAACTGGCCCACGAATTTGCTTGCAACCTTGCAAGTAACTATGGATGGTCACAGCAGATGTTCCACTGGACTTTCCCTTTTGCAGTGGCAGGGTTATTGTCGCAGCTTGAAAGAACTTAACTCACTGGTTTTCTTCCTTTTCCTCGCATTTGAAATTTGAAGGAGGTTGTGTTTGCACAGTGCATTCACAAGTTGATTTAGAAATTCATTGACTCAGGAGTGGACGCAGCGCGCGTTCTCAATGCATGGAGCACTTGAAGAGGATCACGCAAGCAGTCATTGCGGCTGAGCAACTTGTGCTGGATGGAAATGCACCCGGTCAATTGCAGGCTGTCTTGAAGGATGTTGGATGGGCCAATGAGACTTTCAGTCGTGAGCTCATGTTTTTGCTCCGGAGTTCTGGCTTCAACATTGACAATGACATCAAGCTGCGACAGCTGTTGTGGAGGTTTTGCAATGGCTCAAACTCCACACAAAGTATTTTGGAGAGCACATTCGCGCACCTCAGAGACATAGCACAGAGGCAGGCGAAAGCCCTCAAACTCAATCCATATTGCCTTTGGATGTATGCAGTGGGTTGCCCGTATGTCGAAAAATCAGGGATGGCTCAGCTGCTGCCGACTGCAACGGACTGGCTGCGGCACGCACCGCTTCTGGGCCGGTCCGCCGAACCTCTTGCGCAGGTTTTTAAGAGGCTCTTCAAGCTGGAGAAGACGATCCTCCCGAAAGGAGAAGACATTGACTTACCCTGTAACGCGGCTGGCGTGGCCAAAACTGGTTGGCGGAACGCTGGCCCCCTCAGCCACTACAAATCGTCCGCTGCGACGGCCTTCTTGACGCGCGACGTCAAGTTTAACTTTGTAAACGCCTCGAGCGCTTGGGCCGCCTCGGTTCTTTGTCAAAAGGGTGTCTTCTACAACACTGGTGACGGATCTTTCTGGCTCTCGCTGGGTTTCATGGTTTGGTGCTCTCTTGGGGTTCGCCTAGTTCTTCTTCGCTGCAATGACAAGGAAGGGCAGGGTTTTTGAGCATGGGCTGTGACAATCAAAAAAACATTTCAAGTCAAAGTTGAGTCAGAGATCCTTTCCAATTTAAGCAAGCTGTGATTTTTCTGCTTCTTTTTTGACCACGTTCCAATTCATGGGCTGATGAGGAGTACCTGGTGATTGACAAGGAGTGCGTCGTGGACTACATGTTCAACTTTGATGTCACTGAAGCTGGGCCATGGAAGCGAGTGGTCCTTGCGCACTGTCCCCCAGCTTGTCTTCCAGAAGAGCTTGCGCACTGTGGGAGCGGTTGGGAAGTGATTCACAAAAACAGGATGCCATTGAAAGAGAGCATTCGTGACAAAAGCTTGCGCTTGCGTGTTTCGGATCTGAAGCAGATTTTTGCTGCCCTTGGCATCAACCCACCTGCAAAGCCAGGCTCTGGGAAAAAGGGTGGCATCATCAAAGTTGATTGGTGCCGAGTTCTTGTGAACACTCTCTTCACCATCGGCTTTACTGATGATTTCAAGAAGGATTTGATCAAGCATTTGTGCGGCACCAGCCACAGGACTGTAGATGTTGACATTTTGTCAGCCGTTGCTCACCTCGACACTGAGAATTTCGAGGCATTCCGACATTTGCAAAAGGCAGCGATAGAGACAATGGAGCTTGGAGTTTTTGGAAGCGCGGAACAAGCAGAAAAAGAGTTGAAAGAATTCAGCTTGGAAGAGGCAGTCAAACAGACTGCACCAAAAGTTGAAAAGCTGAAGAAACAGCATGCTGAACAAGTCAACGCCAAATCTCTCAGAAACTGGGGGCAAACTCCGGATGATTTGAAAACACTTCTTCCAGGAGGTGGCGAGATCAAAGGTGTCTTTTGGATGTCCCTGAACAAATTGAAAAAGCACTTTCGCGTTGACTACCCCATAAGTGCCTTTGTCTTGTCACTAGCGCGTCAGTTTTGATTTTGAGACTACATTTCATTTGCCAGATTCTGGGCCCATGACTATTCAAATATTATAATCGTTAACGCCCCCGAAAAAAACACGTTTGCAAATAATACTATATAATCGTTATATAGTCCTTGTCATCGCCTCATCGACCGACTGAGACGAACTGCTTGAGCTGAACAGCATCCAACGCAGCTGGCCGACCACCAGATGCACCAACGCTTTCGAAGCGCTGCAAACGGTTCTCCATTGGACATACGCTAGGTGGAACAAACGTCATCCTGATCAAGAGTTTCAAATGTGCTTGGGACCATCAATGGCCAAACTTTTTGCAGCCTTATGATACCCCAGGGATGTACAAAATAATATCCACAATTTTGGTCACACAAAAAAGTGGGGAAAATGATTTAACTCACATTTGGGGCCCACGTGGATAATCCAAATCATTGGTAAAAATAAGTAAATATAATAATTACGCTATGGGGTGCAGATCATATTTAATTTGTTCCTGCAGGGTAATCCATTATCATCTAAAAGTTGGCGCTAAGGCCGACAGATGAGACTTTGCGCAAGTACGTCGCAGAGCATGGAATCTAAAATGCCAACACTGGATTCACTGGAGCTGGAAGCATGAAAAATCGCAGCGGATGCAATGCCTGTTTTGGGGAACTAGGTTTGGTAGATCCAAATGCTATTTCCAAAAGAATCGGTTGAATTCGTCACTAAATTAGTGCCATCAACCATCCATCAGCTTCGGTGTATGTTATGTACCCCGTAAGAAAGATTCGATTCTGTGATAATCAGGAAACCGGTCATTTCCACGGAATCCCTGTCGTTGAGTCTAGTTCCCTAAGATTGGGGTAGTGACTTTCCTTTGACATCGGTGCTGTTTTTTACCACCACAAGAAACATCTAACTATTTATGGTGAGCTATGGCAATCAAGCAGTGTTTCTTTGTCATGGGTCTCATAGTACAAACAAATCTTTCATCAGTGTTTGCATTCCCACCACCTAAAGTTTTTAAAGACGGAGGACCCGAAACATAATTCTATGAATGTAGGAAGGGCCATTGAAAGCCAATTCAGGAATCCCATCAAAAGAATTAAGGCCTAATTAAGCACTTTGAACCCAAAATTGGGGAAAACCCAGCAACCCTTAATTTGGTCTTAATTAAGGCCTACTATAGGGGGGGGGGGGGGGGGGGGGGGGTTAGCCTTCTGTGAGAAATGCTTGTTGATGGAAAGATAAACAACAAAATGTTAAGGACATTGATTATACATTGGGATTTCATAAGCCGTTTTATGGTGATGTAATATGATGCAATGGGATAGAACGTGGTGAGGAGAGGTGTTTATTGTTGTTTTTCTAGGGGTGGGAGGGGGGGATATCCGGGAAACAACACGGACGTTGGGTTTAAAGCGTGTTGTTTCATTTCATTTTTCATATTTTTCAAATCAATATGCTTTGAGTATAAACATGCGTGGTTATATCCACGGAGGGTTCCTAAAATGGGGGACCCCAAATCCCAAACCCATCACTTTAGCCTGCAAGCAGCGCAGCCACCAGCCAGATGGGCTTGGGGTGTAGTTGGTCCCGATGATCATGTATATTCATATGAATTGAAAAGTATCAATGTCCATTAAGTGATCATTAAGTGTCAAGTAGTGTGAATATTGATATCTAGCATCCAATATTATAAGTATACAACCCAATGTGTGGGCATTAAGTATTGTAATTTCTGGGCACATTTTCCGATCAGCACCTGAAGTTGGGATAGAAGGTCTTCTGTGAAACTATTATATGAATTATATGATATTTTATTTGCAATTTCCAATGTTTTGGACCATATCTCAATTCAGAGGCAGCTACAACACATTAAGATCCATACTGAGTAAATATATAATCAGGCACACACACACATATATATATATATATGCACATAAATATTCAAGTAATATTGACTTAATATCCCTCGGACCACGCCATTAGGCTTGGTGGATACCTATTCAAGCCGCTTTCGCACGGAGGTTTTCCAGGTGCCACTCCGGTGCCAGAACTTCCAAGGGTTGATTTTCACAAGGTTTTGGCCCCTATTTGGTTGATTTTGCCACTTGGTGAAACATTGGCCTCACACCAAGTGGCAATTTTTTTTGAGCGCAAGATATTGAAATAACCAACTGTGGGGCAGGCATCAGCAATCTAGACTGGTGGAACCTGATCATTTGCCAAGAATGAGATCTTCACAATCTTCACAGATTTGGAGCCATAGTGTCACCAAAATTTGTGAGCCCCGGCAAGTTGGTGTAAAAACATGAAAAGACGACACCGATTTTCCGGACTTTCTTGACATTTGGGAATCATTTTGGTTCAGGTGAAACATTATAAATACTTGGGGAAAAACCTGGCATGTCATTCTTCAAGAACATTCGATTCAAGAACCACCATGTGCGATCCTGACCCGCCATCCCACATCCAGAAATGCCAGGGGATGAAAAAAAAACCAGGAATCACCAGGATCTGCCAGGTTTGATGCAGGGCATCCGTGTGGATCATTCCAGCTTCAATCACTCCTAGGTCCTATGATTCATGCCATAATTTGAATTGAATTGGGACCATTTACAGGCAAAAAAACAATCTTTACCATGCAAAAAACAATCGTTTTTATGGCAAAAACCCACTGTTTCCCGAACAAAACAGGTGCGTTACTCCAAGATTGATGGAGGAGTCCGGCACCTCATTGGGCTGCGCGACTTTACGGACCAGCTCTCTCTCGCAGGACGAAGTTCCCGGTAGGGATTTCGGTTAAACATATGGAAGCAATTACGGAACAATTTTCTAGACTCTATTTTTGATGGTGATTGATTATTTTTGATGTGATTGTGAATGGCAAATCCTGATGGAGGAACGTGCTAGATCCTATCCCCATTTCTCCCCATTTTTGAGATTTACTTAAGATACCTATACCTATATATATATATATATCTAGATATCTTGAAATCCAACGTTTAGATCACCGCACCGATCTTAGAGTCCACTTTGATATCCTTCTTTTCGCGGTCTGAAAATTATGCAAGTGGATGTGGGCAGACGATTCATTGAACGATCTCCAAGGGGAATGCGACACCGCTCCAGGCCGCAATGCCACGGATGAGATCCCTGAACCGAGCAGCAGGAGCAGCCGCCAGCGGCACCCGCAGGATGCGTCGGAGTCACCTCCGCAGCTGCTGGGATTGATGGAAAGATACTGTATATGATATGTGTATACATATATACATATATACTGTATATATATATATACATGGAATTTCATTACATGTGGATATATATATATATAACATAATACAAATAGGTATGGAACATAAGGTTGACCAACCGACATAAATGGTAGAATATTGAGATATAATGCAATTACGAACATATCTGTATATATATATATATTTACATATGCATATCACTGGAACATAATGGGTTTCCTAGAATGGGGGACCAAAATCATGTGATAAATTGATTCGAATTCGTCATATTGTTGGGGAAGCCATCGGTGAACTGGGGCACCCTAACTTCGGGATTCCGCCACATAGTGGTCAATGAAAGTCTAACTAACCAACATGGGATGAAAGATTGATAAAGATGGAATGGAAATAACATTGGATAAACATAGAATGGGAACAACATTTGGAAAAACATGGGAATGAAATGGGGCCAATCATTTTAAGCCAAACCCACATGCGGGCATAATGTTGTGACCAACTCTGGGGACAAGGGTAAACAGACTGCTGAGGACTCAAGTCATTTGGATACCTGTTTGGACCCGCAAAATTTGCTTATTGCCAGTTTTTTGACCAACGAAAAAATGCGGGTCAACAAGTAAAATTTGAGGTGCTGGTCTCAAAAATGTCAACCAATACATGTGGTAAACCCGATTTTTTATACCCCCCTAACTTGGGTGGTAGAAACTAGCTTCAAACAGGGTGTGACGTTGGGCTTACCACATCGTTGCAGCCTCACAAGACCTCATTGCAAATGAGACTTTGAATGCTATTTCGGGCTCAGGAATGACCATAAGTTGCCCACATATTGCGGAAGACACAAAAAATTGGAGGGGAGAAGGATTTGGCCATGGATATGCCAGGGCTTCAAAAATCGCACCGGATCTTCAGGTTGACACTCTTAGAGTTGAACTTGCAGGACCCGGTTCCGGGAGGAGAAGGCCGAGCTGCTAGAGCTCCCAATTTTTGGTTCAATAGTTTTAGATAGTTTTAGGTTCTATAATTAATTCTGCTAGTGCCTCAGCCATGTGTTCCTAACATCAGCGATGATAGGCCTTGTGCCACTGGAGGATATGGTGGTGAATTCGGCCTCGGCCTCCTTAACACAGATGGTGGGTGGCTTGTTGAAGACGTTTTTTTTTTGAGGGGGTTTGCGTCAAAGTCGCGGAAACTGTTTGGACCCACAATTAACGGGTTTATTTTCAATTTGGGGGTAAATCAATTTGACGGGCAGATAGAATCAGATAGCTGGGTGACGCAGGATTGGGAAGGTATTTTCTTGATTCTTGGGCAGAAGATGGCAGAAGCAGTGGAACACATGGCCCAGCTACTGTAAATCTGAGATATTTTATATGCGCTTATTTCCATATGTTTGTTGGATGCAACTATATTAAGAAAGCCCCAAAACGAGAATGTAACATCTGTAACATCCTTCAAAAATACGTACAATTCACTTTTCTATCTTTTTGGGTCTGACAAAGACCTCCATGAGATCTCTGGCCGCAAGCCGCTTGGGGGCCTTTGAGGCAGAAGCCTTGAAGAGGCGAGTTTCCGTCTCGGGATGGAGAATCCACAATTTCTGACCTGAAAAAACATCGAACATGTTCAATGAACCACTCTTTTAGAATTGGATTTTGCATCTTTGTATGTCTATGTCTATATATATATATATATGTTCAAATATATATATATATACATATATATATATATATGTTCAAATATATATACACATATATATATATACAATATATATACACACATATATATATACAATATACGTACATATATATATATTTATATTATACATATTCTATATATTATATGAATAGTATATATATATATATATTATTATTTTAAATGGTATATATATATAACTTATACTATTATGTATATACACACATATATCGCTCTTTGTTTTTTTTTGGATTGCTAATATTGCTACTTGCTCTGTTTCATACAAGCCAAACGAAACCTCGGTGGAATGTAATCGATCGATTCAGGGTCATTGGGTTGCCAACAATTAGGCTACTTTATACTCCAACTATTTAGGGAGAAGAGATTGTAATTGAAGAAAAGATCGGAAACTACACAATAATTCAAATAGCATAGAATACCTATATAATGAGAATGTATGGAAAAGCACATGGTTTGATGTAATTGGATGTGATGGAATATCATGGGGTATAATGGGATGTATCAAGCACTAATCAGAAATACGATTCAGGTTTCTCCACAGATGAGGCAGAGAGATGCGCGTACCCAAAAATAGCAATTTCATTATGAACATGATGCAAAAACGGAAATAACTTAAATCCCTGGTTCTCTTTTCCAACCGCATTGGCAGAATGATCTCAAGTGTGGATCATATCATTTTTGGACGCCCGAAGCCACCAACAAGAACGAGTTGTTTCCCCGCCCAAAAAAGCGGTTCTGGCAACACGGGCATTTAAGACGATACCTGCCTGCAAACTACCGCAATGTAGCCGTGGAAAATCATCATTTGTTTGAATAAGCAAATCACCCTGGTTGGTGGTTTCAAACATTTTTATTTTCCATAACATATGGGATGTCATCCTTTCCATTGACTTTCATATTTTTCAAGATGGTTATTGCACCACCAACCAGCACCTGTTTTGCCATAGCAAACTTTTGTAATTCCCATTTGAATCTGCCATTTGTTGTTGGGGTACAGCTTCCATACTGGACCTATCCCAATCACATCCTTCCAACATTGACTTTGCCACCAGCTGACGCACCACTCAGGGAATCATGGAATTTACCATTTCGGGGGATAGAGTTGGCCGAAACATGTCATGTTTTCGTGGTTAGACCGCGGGAAACTCAGAGCTGGTCGTAACAGCTATGCCATTTTCAGGTGAGTGGATTATTAAGCCAATAATATTATGAAGCCAAGTTCCATTTGATCTGGACCAACTTGCGATTGTATTCTGATTTGCTGCCATCCTTTGTTCAGAACACCAGAATTGCTAAGACACGCCAATCAAATAGCCTGTGGAGATAACAGCTAACCACCCAAACAACTATGATTCAGCCAGAGTTTGGGTGGTTGCTCTGGGTGCTTGGAAAAACCTCGACGTTTCAGGCTTGGATTCCCTATGATCCCCGAGATCTTTGAGGGCTTGAGTCAAAACACCCAGCCGTTGTTCAACATGGGCTTGATTACTCTTGATTCTTTTAAAGCCATGCCGAATAACATTATAGAGACTACATAGAATCATATAAAATCACCACAATTTCATGAACGGTTACTTCAATGCTCAGCATCACCATACGTTACCTACCAAGCAGCTACTGAACATGGCAAGAACATACAACACATTGCCAAACCATGACACGGGGTCAGACATTTTACATCATCCCAGTGACAGGAAGAAATTCATAAACCTCTATTAAAGATTATTGGGTTTGCCACATTATCAGCACTAATCAGTTATCAACCCATGATTATAATCATTATTGACCCACCATTCACCCCATGATTAACCATTATTATCCAATTATTATCCTATTATTGGCCACTATTATTACCCTCTGGTTATTTGACATAGCCATGGTATAGATGGCCCATAGAAATAGATGGTTTACCGTTCTTAAAGATGGTGGATCTTTCCATGGCTATGTCAGTCATAACCAATATTACCATCTGGTTATTTAACATAGCCATGGAAAATCACCATCATCATCATCATCATCATCACCATATATATATATATATTATAACCTGGGTTAACCACTAACCACTATCGAATAACCAGATGGTAACCATTATTAACCAATATGTTGGGGACTATCACCATCCCATTAGTGAACGGGACTCCCGTTCACCGCTAAAAATGCCCAGTTAGTGGAACCTTGGAATCACGGAGATTTCCCAGCCATGGCCATGATGACACCGGAGGGTATATCAATGATATCAATGTTTCATTTATGTCCCATTTAATATATATATATATATACCAATATATATATATATATACACCAGTATATACATATATACCAATATATATATAATATACCCCTATGACAATTAGTATTCATGTCTCAATGTTAGATTCGTAGATGCGTAGATTAAATATCCATAATATCAATGATATCCCGAGATATCCCGAGGGACGAATGTCTGGTGGGCAACCGGCTGCCATGACGGGGCCCGGGATCGAACTGTTCTCGGAGGTCTTCACCTCCGATGGAGTGGAGCTCTTTCGGAACGCCAAGAGAGAGCTGGCGGCGCTTGAGGCGCGAAAAAAGGGGTGGCGAAGTGCTGTTTTTGGATATTTAGGCTGGAAAAAAGAGGTTTTATAGGATTTTGATGTGGATTTTCGATGGGTTTTCAGGACATTTACCATCATTTGCCTGGTGATTTGAAGTTTGAAGTCGTCAAACTATACCAAACTGCTACTTGGATAAATAACGAAGATGGAATACCACCAAGATGAATCAATCATCATTTCCGTCAAGAAACGACTTTGACCTGTGGGGAAGGAACATTATCCACAGTCAAGCGATGTTCCAGCGAATTTCGTCACCTTAGATCATTTCATTTGGCTGAATTATAGCGCCCTCACATCGGGACGTCACTAGAATGATTAAGATTTCAGGCCGCATCGCCGTAGCTTCGCCAGGGAAAAGGAAGATGGCTGGCCGTCTTTCAGGTTAGTGACATATGATGAAATACGTATATACTATATGTACTGTTGTTTGTTGTCATTATTCAGCCTGCATTTTTGGGAGTCACAGAGGTATCTGGAAATAGCTTACCACCAAGACCCCCTTGGTGTTCCACCGAATGATGAACCATCCCCAAAGATTTGTCACACGAACTGTGTATAGTGTATAGCAATTTTAAAGACACACCCATTGATTGGTTGGTTGCCCTATCTTATCTTTATCCTTTGGTTCACCCAGATACTCACATTACAAACCATTACTAGCCATTATATAGCTGCCCCACACAAGCTAGAATAAAAGTACGTAAACAAAACACATGCTCAAAAAGCGAAGAACTACCTTTCTTTCTTGTCTGGGATGGCCATAGATATCCCCATAAATCCCTATGTTGTTGGTCAAATCCCATTAAATCCCCATTTTACCAGACGGTCTATACTGTCCAATCGCAATCTTTGTGGGCCGGAGCAGGAGCAGGAAGCCCTACACGAGACGACCCTCTACTTCGGCAGCTTAGGGTAACTCTGCTAGCATGGAGCCGGGCATACTTGAAATGACTAGAATGTAAAGAATCGGCACAGATTTTTCCAGTTCTAAGTTTGGAGTTGAAGTCCAGATTTCAACCCAAAAAACATTTTTTTGGTTGAACAGTTTCTGATGACGTCCCTTTTCGAAATCAAATGGCCTTCCGGCAAATGAAGCTAACCCGGCTTGCTGTTGCGAGTGGATATTTCCGACAAAACCGTCCACAAAGCAATTGGGTCATTGGGTTGATTCTGGTTGGTTTAAAGGGAAACCATGTAGGGTTTACAAGTTTACCTTAATATTTGATGAGAAAACCATGAATCCATTGAAGTCCACGGTCAATTCGTATATCCCTCAAAAACATCCCAATTCGTTGGTTAAATCCTCGTGTTAAATCGTGTGTCATGGGTTGATATCCCCCATATGTTAAATCCTACAATGGCATCCCCCTGATACAAAACTAGTCATTTTGGTACCAACTGTTGGTTGTATTTGATATCGTAGGATGGGATTTGTGCATCCAATGTTGGTTAGGTTTGCCCAAAAATGTGGTACACAAAATAATTAGTTACCCTTGGATTTTTGGAGGATAGTTGCTATGAACCATAGTGTTTTTTTTGAGGATAGTTATTATCATGAGCCATATTATGAACCATTTTGAGGATAGTTATTATGATTTATGGGCTTAAAAGTTGATGATTTGACCCAATTATTGCACCACACAGTTCTTCAGATGTTCTTCAGAAGTACCAAACCACTTCAACACTAAACACATCACTACAGACTAAAAAAGGAAATAATTACTAAACATCGCACCACTGAGGTTGGCATATTAGAGCTACTATGCAACTATATATATATACTACTGTACTATATTCCAATCCAGTAAGCCAATATGCCATTATGTATAACACGAATCATTATATACATCTGCTTGAGAAATGCATTTTTTGGGCCATCATATATGTACATATGTGTGCATATGCATACATATCTATACATGTACATTTGCATATGCACATGTATATACCACATTATAGATGTTATATTGAAGGTACACTGATGTTAGATAATGACATAATATAGCCTCAACAGTATCCCATTCTCTATGGCCAGGATGTATTCCCTCTAGTGTCATCAAACGTGGCTTGATGAAGAATCACACATTTTGTCAATGACATGTACAGCTAGAAACCTCCATTGATAGGGGATTTCCTGTTTAATGACCCACACACACACATATATATATATATATATGCATATGTAATGACCCAAATTGGATGTGTGTTTTTCAATGAATACATGAATTAAACTAGATAAATAAATATACTATAACTATAACTATAACTAAAAAATAAGTAAATACATAAATGAAGAACTGAATAAATACATATATATATATATAGGTATAGATAGATAGATACCGAAAATATAGACATTTGGGTCATCAGTAATGTTAGTAAGCAATAATAAACTACCCATATTTTAATGGTTTATACCACCCATTGATGCTAACTTTGGGGATGGTGGATCCTATTATTGCTCTACCAACATAAATTATGATACTTCCCTTTAGATACGATCAACCATTATTAACCATTCTTAACATATATGAAAGATATCCTTTCTGTAACAATTACTATTAACCATGCTTAACTATTAAGCACTCTTAAACACTATGAATATCCCCAAAACCATTCTTAACCACGGTTAGCCACTATGAACCATTATAATCACCACTATGAATAGTTATATAATATCAACGATTGTATAATAGTCAATATTAATCACTAATCACTATTTGGGGATGTATCATATAAGCCTTATGAGCCATTGTTAACCACTACTAATCAGTAATATTAACAACTATGAATCATTTGGGAAAAAGCTCATCTTTTGGAGATGTAGAGATATTAATCCATATGAACCATTCTTATCAGTTGTATTAACCATTATGAACCATTATGAACCATTATGAACCATTATGAACCATTATGAACCATTATTAGCCACTATACCAGACTATACCACTATTAGCCACTATTAACCACTATTAATATTATCCCGGCGTTCCGAGGCTTCGCTTGGGGGACTCGGAGTCTGTGCAGATCTCTGGGACCATGGAGCCGAACCTTGGCGGTGGACCCGGTGGACATGTGTTTCTTTGTTTCAATGGATTGGTTTTGTTGGGAAAATCTAAACCGGAAACCATAGATTGTCCCATGAAGATCATGGGGCTTTCCGGTTAACATTTTCCCTTGAACCAATCCATTGAATGTTGGGCTCCGAAGATTCTTAGGATGGCTTTGTCTGATAACGTATCTGAAAATCTGATAAGGTTTATGATCATTTTCCATCATTTTGCCATTTACAATTAGACGTTTGTTTTTTTGGGGATGAACCCCATTTTCAGAGACACTTAGATGTTTCAGTGGACATATGTCTGGGTAAATTATAACGACCTCATTGCGACATCACTGGAATGATCGTTAGTAAGGGATATATCCCAAAATAGCCCTATGTCAGGGTAGTGAATAATTTATCGAAGGGAGTTTAAAAATCAAGCTTCCGACAATATGGACAGATGAAAAGCACAGGTGGGAAGAGTCAGAGAAGAGAAGAGAAGAAGAAAAAAGATCAGAGAAGAGAATGAGTCAGAAGACAGAAGACGCAGGTGCGCGAAAAGGTAGAAAAGTCGCGAATCACTGTGTTTTTCCAGTGATTTGTGGCTCAGGAGGGTCGAAAAGTAGGCTCCCTAGAGCGGCGGGTGCGGAGACATCTGGCCGGATGAGAGATGAAAAATTGCACACCGTTCGCGAAGCACATTTGGAAGTCAAAAGTGTTAAAAACTGACGGTCTCGGAGCACTTGCAGGAATTGAGCTGTCGAAAAAGTGTACTCCGTTGTGCCGCAAAGCACATTTCGAAGTCAAGAATGTTAAAACTAACGGGTTCAGACCACTTTTGGAAGTTGAGATGTTCAAAAAGTACACGCCGTTGGGGCGCGAAGCACGAAGTCAAAAGTGTTAAAAAACTGACGCTCTCGGAGCACTTTTGGAAGCTGAGCTGTCGAAAAAGTGTACGCCGTTGTGGGGCGAAGCACACTTCGAAGTCAAAATCTACAAGACGCCGCATGCTCGAACCACTTTTGGACGTTCAGATGTCCTTTCGCGTGGCAGGCGCAAGGGATTGTGTACCTTGTCAGAAGTGAGAAAAACGTGAGGGTTTTGCAGCATTTCCAATGATGGCAGGCGTGGGACATGAGAAGAGGATCTGCAAAGATGCATGTCGCGTGGCAGACACAGTACAAGAGACATTTTCATCAGCGATGTTAGGAGGTCAGGGCACTGATTTCCTGAGAGGGGTTGCATTTTGGAGCATCAGACCTTCAGGTTTGCTAAGATGATTTTGCGTGACAGGTGCAGCACTTCGTATGTCCTGGCATCAATTTTTCGTGGCAGGCGCAGTACTTTCGACAGGTGGACCGGAAAAATCGCAAAACGCATTGGCACGAGGCCGTCAGCTCTGCACTCAACTTTCCATTTTGGAAGGAAGTCTCGCAGAATTGCTTCGTTTTTGATGTTGTCAATTTCGAAAATTGAGGAAGTCGCACAGAATTGCTTCGGTTTTGACGTTGTCAAGTTCAAAAATTGAGGAAGTCTCGCAGAATTGCTGCGCTTCTGATGTTGTCAAGTTCAAAATTTGAGGAAGTCTAGCAGAACCACAACTACAACTGCAACTACACTACATTACCCTACACTAATTACATTATATTATACTACACTACACCAATTACAGTACACTACACTACACTAAATTACACTGCATTGCGCTGCACTGCGCTACGCTACGCTACACTAACTACAACTACAACTACAGCTACAACTACACTACTTTACACTGCGCTACACTAGACTACACGACAGCATGCAACACTACGGCACACTACACTACACTACATTACATTGCACTACACTCATTACACCACGCCGCAACTACAACTACACTACACTAGACTACACTACAACTACAACTCCACCACACTACAACTACAACTACAGCTGCACTGCACCACACTACATCCAGCAGTTGTGGGTGAGATGACCACTGCAACCCTTGCAACCACTCCGACAAACACAGCTCCAACCACCTTTCGGTACTTCAGCGGATTCGCTATGCCATCCATGCATAAC